GACACATTCTACTGCAATTCGAACATATCAAATTTCAACTACTTTGTCTGAAAGTGGAGATAACGGAGGTAAGATTTTGAATAATCATTTGAAAATGTATAGCGGATGAAGCGTTTTCAATTGACTCCTAATTAATTATACGAAAACATTAACTGTCTGCTCAATTCGGTCAGCTTTTATTTGACAGATGGACCAAAACAGCGAATAATATTGCCTACTCTGCGAATTCAAGAGCGAATTGATAAAAATTCTGCCCAATAAAACACTATGTGGATGGACCTGTCCAATTTATGCTTCCTGTTACACTGGTGATATGAAGTCCTGTATCTCCTACCTAAGTTGTCTATGTCAGTGGACATTACAGGATGTGCGATTGCACATCCATTATCAGTAGTGTATGGTATTGCCTGTGCTGCACATTCGATAGTTTCCTTAGCTCAACGTGGTGGGTGATATGGAAATGGGTAATAAATATGTGGTCGGTTTCTGAGAATCAACAAGTGCACTACCAACAAGATGGGATAAAAAAACAAACAATCGAATTCGATCGGCAGTCAAACGTCAACAATCATCAGGTCAAACATTCAGTCACCTTGATTTTATTCAAACATGGCGTTACTCTCGTTACCTCAGTAACAACAGCAAACTTAAATAAAATCGGTCGACAATAACTTAAGTCTCATATTGATGATTGAGAAACCTGAAACATGGTTGCATGGATGCTGAGTAAAAGGCGAATACAAAACATGATCAAGGAGCAAAGTGGCGAAATTACTGTCCAATACAGCACTATTTGTAGGGACATTGAGAGAGTATGCTCCCTCTTTCACAGATAACAAACAGTTGTCTCTTCTAAACAATTAGTCTATATTAGTGTAAGTTACAGGACTATCAATAGTACGCTTGTACATCCATAATCATAAGCTTTAACCTCTTATCGTTTCATTCTTTCCAGAAAACAAGGATTTTATCCATCCCTTCTTACCACTGTTACTTTCATACATGCCATCACTGTTTTTAACAGGTAATTCTCATCTGTCTTCCACTAATAAACCAGTCGTACTAGCCACAGGTCACAGGTAATGTGGTCTTTAATTACTAGTGCCATACTATAATCAATTTTTTTAAATTCCTGCGTTTTACGGAGACATTGCTGTTTTTATTGAAGTGACGAGACATGTTTCTTCGTCCATCAAAGACAAAAGATATCAGCAAAACTTTTTCATTGTATCTATCATTTGGAATACCTAATTGCGATCGTGTGATCAGTCGTCAAACTATCACGATATCTTGGGAGTAAGCGACAGTTAATTGCTTTTCATTAAGGTAGGTCGGTTATTCAGAATGCTTCCTATTTTCACAAATGTTATACTAGTTTCGAAGTATGCCTCAACTATTACGGGTTCACCTTAGTTGAATAACGACATCAAACAACAAGCCGGCATCCAGGTAGGCTACTATGATCCCTTGATCCAAAGGTACTAGCAAGAAGTCTTGATATAGCATTGGACGTGTATTCTAAAATTACCCAACTAGCACAGAATCAATCCAATCACACAATTCGCGTTTATCTATAAACCATAGAGACGTCCTTGGCATAGTCACAAACCAGCACATTAAAATGACAAAGTACACAATCACAGACAGGGATTCGCCTGGTGGGAAATATGATCTCAAGGTCAATTGATCAGATCATGAATAAAATCAAAAAAGACATTTATCAAGTGAGTTGTGGAGACCTAACGTCTTCAGCACTTCTCCCCTTTTTAATAGCTTGCGCTCCTGTGGTCGACTTGCATCTTTATTGATGTTCGCCGCTGTCTGAGCGGATACTTTCAGGAACGAAGATCAGTATGTGGCTGAGTTTATTCTAGTTCGGGGCTTTCTGGTACGCTTGATTTATCAAGCAGGATGCTAAGGGAATTACTTTCTGCTCGTGATGGACGATCTGACGCTAGCCGTTTGCAAATCTGGTTTCGGTGTAGTGACCACATTTCGCCTTCCACCTCCACTTCGCACACGACTCGCTTAACTCTTCTGACTACAATTTTGCGATTAAAAAATCAAAAAGTTCCGAACGACTGTCAACTGTCTAAACTTCTGAAACAGTTAAAGAACAGACTGGAATCCTGTCATTCTAATAAAATGTATTGGCTTTTGAATTCTACTCCACTTAGCAATACGTAAATGGAATAAAGGTTGGTGACGAGCTTTCTGAATGCTTACTGAGTGATAATATTTTCACTGATTCTCAACATGGCTTACAGCTGTCAGAGTATCCTATTCTACAAGAGAAAATATAACAAAACGAAATGTTTGATCACTCTAATACTCAGCTTAATAATGAAGCGATTTTCTTGTAGATACTCTACTTGACCATGCCTTTAAACTTTGTAAATCTCTGTAATTATTATTTTCAGAATCTACATTGACGGTTATATGTACTGATTTGTTAGTAAATTGAATTTCTTCTTCACTCTCGGCTTCACCATCAGGCTATAATTTTGGGATGTGAGCACGTACCATGATCAGATTTCGAACAGCATATTTGTTTCCATTTTGAGATTTTATCATTGTATATTGTTATTATTTCCATATTTTGTACTTATATTGAAGTTTTTATGTTTGCTTCTGAACTGTAAACATGTTGTTTAAATTTGATATTAAATATGGCTACAGCCATATTTGGATTTGATACCTTGGCAGTTAATACTAGTATCACTTATTCCTTTGGATTTGGATACCTATCAGGGTAACTTTGGACTTGGAAGGTGTATTAATTGTCAGGTAACTGTTTGTATTTCCATTTCATTATAAAAATAGACCACTTTCTCCTGAAACTGTTGTGTTTCGATATTGTACTAGGGGATAGCGCGTTCGACCTACACCTGCTGAAATCAAAGTGAACTGCTACGGTAGAAAATTCATCTGCAACCATAACATACTGTTTATTCACTCTTGTAATTAGAAATTTAACCGCAAGGCTTCTTGGAAATAAGCATGTTCATCATGTGATGTTACTTAAAACCAGAACCACATATACTATCATTTTAAAAAATCTTGTGATTATTCACACATTCAATCAGTACATTGTTCATCGGTCAACACGAATAAAAAAACGACAGTAGACAAGCAACAAGACACGAAGCTCAAATCTTATATCGATTTGAACTGAACTACTGAATTTTCATACCAAAGCGTCTGAACATGTCAGTATTGACTGATAGATCGGTGAAAAACATAGTGTACAAGAATATTGATGCAAAAGCGTAATTTGGATAGAAAAGAAGATATCGTGATTTTCCAACAGTCAAGTGACTGACAAATATTGTTATCTGTAAAATAAATGCGAAACTCATCAGTCGCAACTTTATAAAATAACAGTAACTGTATAGATGAACAAATACGTCAAAACCAATTTTCTGTATCGAATGTTTGCGATTAAAACTAAAATGTTTGACCATATTCCTGCGAACGTTTTAAAAAAGACGCGTTAGTGATGAGGAGAAATGATAACAGAACGTCACATTCAGGTGATGAATGTTTTGTTGTGTGAAGCACTGGATTCAAAACCAGATATGTGTTCATTCACACAGAGCATTAATCAGTCCCAGGACTGCGACGTTCAGACGGTGGTTTTATGCGGATTTTTGTAAGCCGTAATATGAATTTGCTGTAACTTGAAGGATCAGTGTTTAATTTTTATATATGGGTTAGAATATCTCAGTTTAGATATAACATGTTTAGGCACGTAGTTAATCAATTTTCCCCTGTATTCAATTTCTTCTGATCCATATTCTTACTAAAGGAGATGGATATTCAATGTGACAGACGTTAGCTGAATAATATGAATTCATTTTGTTTCGTTTGGTTTTCGTCAGATGCTTACAGCTTTGACACTAATCATTCTGTGAATAAGTGTAATTTATAGAGCTGGAACATCTAGTTTTTCGATTATTCAACATGTTCTATTCGATACTGACCTTTCAGCCTCCGCATATGTGCAGATTAATTCTGTGTTAAGCAGTTATACAGATGCAAACAAAGCTGAATGGGTTCATGTCATTCTACTAAACTCTTCCTTGTTCGTGTTCTCGTCATAACAAGACATAACAATGTATGAAAAAATAAAATTTTGATGAGTTTAACTTACAATGAATAACAATATTTCTGCACAAATCTCAATACCAATCCCTACACCCTGAAAAACGGTTAAAGTATTCAGTGAAATAAACAAAGTATACAGTTTGAATGTCACTCAAAAATAATTGCACAAAATGATGTGAACATAAATTTTGTGACGAATATTTTGTGCTGTTCGTTTATCATTATAAGTTAAGCTGATTAGAATACGCAAACCGGTCATTTGTTGTTCAGCCAATGTGTTTTTCTGCAAAATGTTAGAAACAACTACGAGCTAACTGAAGTTTGTCGTTTGTGTGTGTGATCTACAAGACACTATGTCACATGTATCCTGAACACTTGGTACTGAGGACCAGTTTTAATTCCGACTTAACTCCATCTTTAATTGTGGATGGTGCTCATAATTTCCAGAGTCAAAATCATGTTTATACATTATTCTGTTATAAATTTCCTATCATCAAAGAGATAGATTGAAGTAAATGAAGGATAAATAAATAAATGACTGCAGTATTTGTGCGATTTTGTTTTGCTGACGAGAGTATTTCCCTGTTCATAAACTGTTTGGCTCACCAATGTAGATGTCAGGCAATCAACCTCATACTATAGACTAACTTTCATGATGTTATGCAAAGATAGCTGCTATTACCACTACGTATCTGCATTTAATCGCTCCCTAAATGATAAGCTGACTCAATATTTCTGAATTTCAATAAAAAACATTCGGATCTACAATGTTTGCAGTTGTTGAATGCTGAACATCAATGAAGATTCAGTGATTCAGACATCCTATACCTGAAACAATCGTTTTAACCTTGTAACAAACTAAAATAATTTTAACTCATCAACAAAATGATCGATTATTCAAGCGAATCAAATGATTGATATACCCGGTGTTTCAAATCGTCGAGTGCAATAGAAACTGCCAGAATTACAATCGATATAACACCAAGTGATATTAGAATAGCTGTTGAATGATCCACTAAACGTGTCTTTATTGCTGCACCAATCAGTAAGGCAGATGTGAAGAGTACCAAGCTGACACCGAATACGCCAAGAGTAATAGGAGTAGAAAATCCGGCATTTGAAAATGCAAATGCTATAGACATGAGAATAGACTGAAAAATAGAATTAATATTGTAATTGTATTCTGAGTCATAACATTGATGTGGGAATTTCCGGAAATCAGTTACAAGAGAATAAATGGCTGTTTGGTTTCCTGATAGGACAACTTCAGATTTGAAACATGTGGTTTTGATATTTGGAAAGCACAATTCTTGGAAAAAGTGTTAAGTTTTGCGTCTTAGTTCAAAGCCTCAGCAAATGATAATCGTTCAAACACATTCTAGCGTTAAACTATGTGTATCGGCAACGAGACACATACGATTCAATTTCAAAATCGAAAGTGTGAAATTCAGTGTGCACTTCTCTTCTCAACAAATGACAGGAGATGGTATCATTTTAAACGCGAAACGAAAGATTGGAAATTAAGGTGAAGTAATGACAACAGTCATAGTTTGCGGCCACGTTAACGACAATGATGAGGCAAGGTTCTATTGTGCACACGGTCTTTGCTTTATTTCATGGAATGTTGGAGCTTCCAGCGCTTCAACTAGTTGCAGCAGGGGAATTTATGTAGATGTGAACAAGTTAAATCAGCAAGCTTAAAATCAATCTGTGGATCAGCGGAATTCCAGCACTCACAGACCTTACTGTGTTTCATGCTGGTCTTGACAACTGTGCTCGGACGGTCCTTCTCAAACAATATTTACCTTAGCAAATCAATATATCCACTAAATATGCTGTTCCACAGCTGTTATATGCACAGTAGAATAGAGAGTAAAGAGGATTTCTGTTTCTATCTAATGAAACCGAGTTAGAGAAGCGGGATACGTGAAAATGTCTTTGTTTATTTGCTGGTGATCGCGGTTCTCTGGGATGAAACACTATTTCTCTGTAAAGGTGATGCGGAAATAATATTTTGACTTAAACTCCCGATGTCCATATTTACACAAATCGAAGATTTATTTCAATCTAAGTATCCATCGGAAATTGGATGTGACAAACAATATCGCCTCAGACAAACAGTTATAGCTGATTGCCGAGACAAACATTATTCTTACTCTCACACAAAACAGTTGAAATATCTGGAATAATGAACAATTGATAATGACTCTTACATAAAGGATCACAAAGACAACGTTCAGAGGATATTTCTCACTGATGTTCTTCACAACTGCAATAAGTAGCGCTATCAAAAAAGCGATGAGACTGCAAAAATAGAACAGAATTAAATAAGACTTAGGATATAAACGGTGGGTAAACGAACGGTAAAATATTTTAATCTGCTAATAAAGACCGACCTGAGAATGACACAGTGATGATTATGAGCACGTGTAATTGCTAATGCGTTCTATTGAAGTAAATTTCATCCCTGTAACTTTTGCCAATCACGAAATTATTTCTAAATTGATTTTATTTTCGATTACACTCATCGATGTAGAATACGGGAATAAGAAATGATGATAAGTATGACATGTAGTTTAGACCATTCATTTATATCAACAAAGTCTCAGCTTACTCTCTTGTAGTGCAGCTAATTTGAATGAAATATGGATGGTTTGAAATAGTGAAATATTGATTTATATTATTTAGTGATACAATGGGAAATCAGAACGAAAAAAATCATCAACATCAACTACGAAATCAGACACACATCGAACTCATTGAGAATACTTGTTTATCCAAATGTCAAATGAACTTATCAACTTGACATGAATTGGTTGATTTCAGTACAAAGAAATCCCGATTATACTTGTAATTTTTAAATATTGTCTAACAAAGTACATATCCGACATAAGTTATCTCCATTAACAACTGATTATTAAATGAGTTTATATTGAAAATACATTCATTTTCAGTTCCATTATTAGACAGATTAAAAGTATAATGGAAAGAAAATTGATAAGCTTACACAGATATAACAGCAACAACTAACTGTATTACGTCATTTTTTTTAATTAGTTTATAGTGGATACTGAAAGAGAAATATCATTTTTGAAACCATGAACCGATCAATGTTAGACCACCATTAGAAACCTGGAAGCACTGGACGGCCGTTTCGTCCTGGTATGGGACTCCTCAGCAGTGCGCATCCACGACTCCTGCACCCCGCAGGATTCGAACCCAGGACCTTCGGTATTGTGCGCGAACGCCCTAACCGATAGACCACTGAGCCGGTATCTAACGGTGTTAATGTCTAACTTGATCAAATTCACGGAGTTGCGCAACCTCATACACAGTCTTCGGTAGTTACTGTCTACACCCGAACAGGTTGAACTTCACTGGTCACGTCTTCCCACTAGAACTCGGAGAAGATTCCTCACGAAGCTAGTCACTAGTGAGCACAGGTAATTTACATTACGGGGTTGTGAAGATTGTTAAGTTACACATTTTTGAAACCATGAACCGATCAATGTTAGACCACCATTAGAAACCTGGAAGCACTGGACGGCCGTTTCGTCCTGGTATGGGACTCCTCAGTGAAGTTCAACCTGTTCGGGTGTAGACAGTAACTACCGAAGACTGTGTATGAGGTTGCGCAACTCCGTGAATTTGATCAAGTTAGACATTAACACCGTTAGATACCGGCTCAGTGGTCTATCGGTTAGGGCGTTCGCGCACAATACCGAAGGTCCTGGGTTCGAATCCTGCGGGGTGCAGGAGTCGTGGATGCGCACTGCTGAGGAGTCCCATACCAGGACGAAACGGCCGTCCAGTGCTTCCAGGTTTCTAATGGTGGTCTAACATTGATCGGTTCATGGTTTCAAAAATGTGTAACTTAACAATCTTCACAACCCCGTAATGTAAATTACCTGTGCTCACTAGTGACTAGCTTCGTGAGGAATCTTCTCCGAGTTCTAGTGGGAAGACGTGACCAGTGAAGTTCAACCTGTTCGGGTGTAGACAGTAACTACCGAAGACTGTGTATGAGGTTGCGCAACTCCGTGAATTTGATCAAGTTAGACATTAACACCGTTAGATACCGGCTCAGTGGTCTATCGGTTAGGGCGTTCGCGCACAATACCGAAGGTCCTGGGTTCGAATCCTGCGGGGTGCAGGAGTCGTGGATGCGCACTGCTGAGGAGTCCCATACCAGGACGAAACGGCCGTCCAGTGCTTCCAGGTTTCTAATGGTGGTCTAACATTGATCGGTTCATGGTTTCAAAAATGTGTAACTTAACAATCTTCACAACCCCGTAATGTAAATAGAAATATCATTGTTTACCGAACAACTTACATTATAGATGAGATCATTAAAACGCAAAGTGTGATCAATATTTGTATTGTAGCAAGTATTAAGACCTGTCATCAAAATAAATCATTATTTGAAAATCAGAGTTTACTGTTTTCGTGTATGTTGATACAATCAGTAAACGATCAGCTATCGTCAATCGATTCACTTTACACATTGAACTATCCATCCATGGAACACTTGGAACAACATGCGACGTTACTGTCATAATTCGCCTGTCATAAAAAATGTCATTACACTTTTGTTTAAATGTTCCAAAGAAAACGTGTAGAGCAAACGTAACTTTAAATGTCAGCAAATTTGAATGTGTTTATTGTCTTGTCTGCGATTGTTGAAAAGATTGTGTCATAAAACACAACTGAGGTGCTTTGCAACACACATACTTAAGTCTAACGCATGTGTTCAGAAGTAAACATAGTCGACATGGAACAACGACTGTCAGTATGCGGAGTTAGTGTCTCTACCTATAACGTACATTTTTACTATAATATTAATGGTTATATCAATAATGATAATGATAATCATATCAATACTAGTGGTAATAGTAGCATCTAAACCACTACTAATTTTCGTTATATTCCCATTTGTGGTCAGCTGGTACCAAACTATTACTGACTTCCTTTTCTGCATACAAAATTTTGTTCAGAAATAACCTAAAACTAAGAGATTGGTTTCTCTTATATGAGCAATAACTGGCAATCCTATATCTCAATATACTTACCTACCGCTTCCGATTCAATCAGTGTTCATCAGAACTTACCTCTTCACAAAATCTCATTTATATTACAAAAAATGTGCACTTCAATGAGAGCAAAGTAAAATGACAGATAAGATTTGATACACAATTGTGCAAAGATATGTTTATCTGAATCTGGACTAGACAGAAATTATGTACTTCCTAATGAAATAAACACTTTTAACCAAGTGATAGTCTGTATAAAATTTACAAATTCATGCAATAATTTCAGCATTAAGTTGTTGTGAAACAGATTAAAGTGCGTCAATCAATATAAGCTGAACTATTTCTTGTTAGTATACTTTGTTATTCGAAAAGGTCAATAGCTATTTTATGATTGAATACAGATGTAATGTAATAAAAATCTTTAGATGAGATCACGACATAGTCTGCTTCACTTCGGACTAATTAAATTTCAACTGTTTCATCTGAATGTGGAGATAGCAAAAGTAGGATTTTTTTGATCAGTCATTTGAAAATGTATAGCATTTGAAGCGTTTTCGATTGACTCCTAATTAATTAAATGAAAACATAAACTGTGTTCTCAATTCTGTCAGTTTTAATTTGAGAGACGGAACAAAACAGCAAATAGTAACTGTTACGGGAGAAATGAAGACACTTGGCTGATTAAATTCTTTATATAAATATCATTAATTTCACTGTGTTTTTGGGTATATTTGTTTTACTTAACTTATGAACTTGTTTGATTTATTATTTTCGGCCATTTTGAATTTCGTTTGTCTTGGATTTGGTCATTTGGAGTTTTTGCTCCAAGAACCTATAAAATTGGAGGTATTTGTAATTATTATAATTATTGTTTTTAGAACGACATTGGTCGTCTATTTGTAAATTGACGAACGACATTTTGGTCGATTATTTGTGAATTACAATTAAACTTTGGTACCTACTTTGGAGTTGTCTTTGTTGTTAATTTGGGTTCGTGAATTGCTAATAGATCGACGTACTGTACTTTAATAACGGAAATAGCAAAACTTGGACTTAACAGTACTGCATGTGTTGCACATTCGAGTTTACTTAGCTCGACATGGTGGGTGATATAGAAATGTGTATTAAATAAGTGGTTGGTATCTGAGAATCAACAACTTTATTTCCAACAAGACGAGCGTGACAAAAATACCTTTCAATGAGTATGCGATTGGCTGTATAACGTCAATAATCATCACCGCAAGCATTTGGTCACCTTGAGTTTATTCAGGCTAGTAAAATGGTCGTCAGCCAATAGAAATTAAAACCAAATTCGTACGCTTGAAGTAACGGAACGTTACAGTTTGTTTATCTTGCAACTACGAAACCTCATCCAGCAACAAAGAATGTGGATTAGAAATGGAATCAGGAATCGAGTGCCTATGGTTTTACCTTTGAGCACCGAATGGTTAAAGGCATACCACAAACGGACATTTTTTCACGCTATCCATATTTCGATAGGCCACTTATGAAAAGTGATTGCATATTTGTTCAACCATTGACAGTGGATATGGAAAAACTTGTACAGAATACTTGCAAGTATTACGGAACTTTCATAAGTGCAATGAAGAGGTTAGAATGTTCAGTGTGAGCTGAGATTTCGTAAGTTTTACAGAAGGAGAGAGGTAATATCACTACATATATTCAAGGCATGCTTTGCTTTAATGATAGAATACTAATTCAGTAGTAGATGATCTTCACTCCTTCCATTTACGAGCAGAAAAAATACCACTTTCAAATTGTTGAAACTATTACGAATTCAACTTACTCGGTAAATGGAACGAAGATCAACGATGCAGTGACACGATAGGCTATTCTTATCCGTTTTTCAGGCCCTGCTAACTAGATCAAGAAGTCCTGATAAGGCATAGAGTATGTATTTATCAGTCTCCAAGAAAGTTCGAAGTCTGCAAGCACACCTCAAGCTATCTATATAATTGTAGAAACACCCTAACTAAAGCCATAGAATAGCGTGCTAAATGATCCATCAGTTATTGACAATCAAGGATTTTATGGCGGGAAATTTTAGCTGCAGGTATATGAAGCGTGTTTGACGCACAAACAAAATTTGAACATTTCAGTAATAAATTACAAAATCTATTGTCCCCAACAACCCTCCCTCTTATACTAGCTTATGTTCCCCGGGTTGATTTGCATCTTGACTGTTCATCGCTTTCGGAGAGACTACCATCTGGAAGGTAGATTGTCGGGATTTGAGATTTATCTCATGATGGGGCTTCCAGTGAGTTGAGAGTATCCGACAGGATATCAAAGCGAAGATTTACTTCTCCTGATGAACTATATAGGGCTAGCCGTTTGCCAATCTCATTCCGATTGCATGACCATCCATCGAGTACTACCTCTACATAACAGGGCCAACTCTTCTGTCCGTGGACCATGGTTAGTTTTCTAGTCATAGACAAACACAGTACATCCCACTTAGTAGGAGGATTAAATTTTCGACTTCGTTTGTATCAGTGTTCACGCATTCATCGGATGCATCAGGCTGTTTATCGTTTTCAGTCTTCTTCCGATCAGGATTTCTGCTGGGAAGCTTTGCTCCTGTAACGTCTCATTTGATATTATTCGATAAACGTTAAAGAATTGGCAGTAGTGGATAATATATACTACGTGCATCTGCGAGCAGAAGAAAAAGAATAGTAACAAATCAGACTTGTTGATAGTCTGAGATTGACAATCTATTATGCTTGTGGACATGAAGTTTCATACCATTAACCTTCTGTGATTCGTTGACCTGCATCTCAGGAATCAAGGCAATGTATTCATGCAAGTTATTTGTTGACCATTTCTAAACTTATATTTGGCTTTATTTGTTATTAATCCATATACTTAATTGCTATAAGTTGTACTTGTCAAAAGTTCTAGCGGAAATTCTACTCAAAATATAAGAAAGAAGAGATTTAGTCTGAAAATGACACTCAATACTTTGGCAACTGATATTGAAACTCATTTCACAATAAAGCAATTTAACAGTTGGCTTGATGATATTCAGGGCTATCATCTATTTGCTGCTTAACGACTTGCTCAGTCTTATAGCTTGGCAGAAAATTTTATACTAACTTTAAACAGTGCTATCGTATCAGTGAATCCAAATATTCAAGAAGGGGTAGAAAGGGGCACTAGCAGTTTCTTTCTACAATACGATACATTTGGGAACCTGTAGCAATTTCATTTTTACCGAGAATAGCACGTTTGGTTAAGCGGCTTCATTCATTATTAAAACTGATTGTACCAGTGATTTTTTTATTGGTACTTTTATACCGCGTTCCTCGACATGCGCGGTCGCCATTTTGATACTATCTGAAACGTTTTGACACTCTTTCATTACCACGTACTATTATTTTATCTGGCCTATTTCGTCTGGACTTCTTCGTCTTTTCGAAAAAGACCTGGCAGAACGTTTGGAATTCGGACGTGTTCACAGTTTCCGATACGAGCATCTACAAACTCATGAGAGATCAGCTAGGCCGTTTAAAACTCACATATTTCAAACTTATTCAGTTGGTAAACTATGTTCAGAAGTACCGTTTATTCGACGAAATGATTGTCAGGAATTATAATTCAGAGAACAAATGATCGAATGCATTAGTTTCTTGATTTGAATGACTAATCAGTTCATACAAAACATGGAACCCAGGTAATTTTGAATGAAGTAGATGGTATTGAACGTATCTCTGCCCATTCTGTACCTGAACGTCATTCTGTAAATAATCTCCAACTACAGACAGATAGCTGCAATTTCAAGTCGGATGATTCACTTCCTAATAATGACTTTAGATAACTCAGAAATACACATAGATAAAGGTGAAAATCAGTATACTGAAAAATTAAGAAGATCCAGAGAAATTTCAGAAAAACCAAGATCACACTATGCCGGTTTAAAGGCATAGTCAGCTTGATTAATAAAGAAATCTCAGTGTAAATTATAGATATACCATGTGATTTGTCAGGTTACATTGTTACAGTGTTCTGGTTCGAAAGATGTTTAAGCAGTATGGTTTTCACATGTATTACACTGATGCAAGGTATCATTCAGGAACTAATAATTCTTTGTCACTTGATAACCTGTCGTTATATAGAAGATGTATAGTGATATACTTTCTTGAAGAGAATGCGATTGGTGTAATGAAAACAATTATTATTATAACTAATTGTAATAGTGATTGTTTTACTGCACCTTTTTGTTTATCTGTGAGAAAAACAGCCTGTGACCTTGAGCTTGCTCACGTATGCGCAGTGGTCTTGCCTGTAAACCGTGACTTGATGTCAGTATTATTTCAACAGCAGGTGATCGCCAACTAATATACATTTACATCACGATCCTGTTTTATTCCTTGTATCAATCCTACGTGAGGATTTAACTTCTTAGTTGGAACTAAATCGAACTGTTGTGGTGATCATAGTAGATAGCGCCTAGACACCGCATATGGTGAGTGATGACTTCGAACACACCAAGCTGCTTCAGATACTCTCAAAGTAGCCAATCGTGGTAGGTCTGTTATTCACCTATCCACATTTATTCATTTGAATTTATCGTTGTTGCATATTTCATATCATATCGATAAGTCTGGTTCTCGGTACTTGATACTCATTTCGTGATCCACCGCATTACGAACCAGCGGCAGCATTACGCACACGTTCTGGAAACTTTACCTGGGGACCATATAGTCGCTGTTCATGAGGTTGTCATCAGTTCTAATGTGTTTGACGTCTATTATCGTCCCAGGGAGAATGATAAAAGAATCCAGAGTACATCCGAAAGTAGACTCATTGACAAAATAATGAAGAACTGGTCCTCCATGTACGCCTTACAAATATTCCATAACCTACGATAACCATCTATCTCCTGTAGTATGACTATAGGTAGGAAGACATTGAAAACAGTCAACTATTGACTAACTACCAGCCTAAATATGTTAAATCATAATTAGAATACTCTAATTCATTTATGTGAGTGAACACTTGTTTCCTCTTCACGTCATGTTCCTCTTCCTGTTTAGACAAATCCAATAAGTGTCAAGCATGGCCACTGTTTTTACGTAGTACAATGATCGATTTCCACTCTTTGTGAATGAAGACATATCTTGCTTAGAATTCAGTGCTTCACACAGCCAAACATTCATCAACTGAATATGCCATTCTGTTCTCATTACTAGTTTACAACAACGTTTCTTTAGCACACTTTCACAGAACTGTCGTCAGTCACAAAATTAGTTTGAATAACAAACATACGATACAGAAAATTAGTTTCAATGCATGAGGGTTGCATTGATTTTACATAAAGCAATATTTGTCAGTCACTTGACTGTTGGAAAAATCACTATGTCTTCTATTATACCCAGATTATGCTTTGGCATCAATATTCCTTGTATATTGTGTTTTTCGCTAATCTATCAGTCAATACTGATGGGTTTGTAAACTTTCGTAATGTAAGTATGAATCGAGTTTCGTCTATTGCTGTTTGTTTCCCGTTGTTTCTTTATTCATGTTGAATCTTGAACACCATACTGATTGAGTATGTGAATACATAAAAGTCTAAGTAAATTGACAATATATGTTTCTGGTAATAGCTAACATCACATGATTTTGTACTAGCTTTACATTTTCGGTTTAGAATATGATGATAAATCAACGTAATGTAATATCCATGTTTTACACTTATTACTCTACTAAGGTGAGCATTAAACGAAAAGTAGTGTGATTTGTCATGTGTGTTTTTCGTAATGTGAACGTGATACACGCTAACACTGTAAACTCATAGCTTGAGGGAGAAGGCCAGTGTTGAGAAGATAGTCTATTTGAATAATGAATAAGGTGTACATAAGCTTGTCCTATAGATCGACTGAAAATAATAAATACACAGTTCACATTAGTTGACAGGCATGATCAGCGTGAAGAAATGTTCAGTGTAAGGATTATGTATGTCATGTTACATTGTTTGAAGCATCCTCGATTGGAAACTGTTTAAGCAGTATGTTTCTCACATATATTACAATGATGTTATGCGTCAATCAGTTGACATCGCTGCTGAATAGAAAACGTATAAATCATGTTTGTAGTGCCCTGTCGGATTGTTTGTATTCACCCTCAATTAGAGAAAATGAGACGGAGCGATTACTAAGATACTTCTGCAAAGTCTGACACGATTCATGTGTGCAGCGGCATGTCATACTGAGATGTACTTCCTGAAGCATATCAACAATCGTTAACCACTTGCTTTACTGCTATTATTCCTACTACCTTTACTATTATGGAATTAGAATTCACAATTAAACCTTTGTGAGCTAATGTGGTATGACAACTTGAACTGATGTACATACGAAGTTCGACGTTTTAGCTGACTGACGAAATACACAACATATCATACTATGAGCATGGTTTTAAGGAGATTCAATAATTCCCTCTCTCTTCAAGAATCATGCCTTTAACTTTCAGCTTCTTCGAAATCACTCTTAAATTCACAATCTACTTACAATAACATTTGCTTTTACAACTTATATTAAAGACAAATGCAGTTCACAACCTTAGTGTGTGAAACAATTTTACTCTCAAAAGACAATTGCGCAGTATCCTGAACTGATGATTACAGTCAGACATTAGCACAGTTGGATGCTAGCTTGATGGCATAGAGTTGAAGTGTTCACGTGCAAAACCGAAGGTCCTCAAGGTTTTATTCCTGCAAGTAGCTAGTTGGAGACATGGATAAGCATTGCTGAAGAGTCCTATACTAGGATGAAACGACCGTTCAGTGCTTCCAAGTTTCTAATTGATGTTGGTCTAACAATGATCGACTGATCATTTCAATGAAATATATATTACAGACATTGGATACTACTGTCTTGTCTATGACTTTTCAATCCATGCAGGCAACCAGCTTCGATTGTTAGTAGTAGTAGTAGTAGTAGTAGTAGTAGTAGTATTCATTCTCTCTCTCTCTCTCTCTAGTTAAACAAACAATGACACAGTGTCATGGAAATCATTATAATTCATTAGATTAATTGAAACAACAACAAGACATTAACAACTGTATATATATAGAACATTCATTACACAACACAATACAACAACAAGTAACAATTATTAATACTATTATTATTACTAGTAGTATTACTATTACGTAATAGACAAGCCCAGTAAATTTCACAATGCCAATTTTAACAACCAAAAAAAAAATAATAATGTGAGATAACCCTAGGAATTAATTGTATTATCCCTATTACTAACTTTTTTTTTCCTTGTACAAAATAAAAGCGCCATTGTTTGTTTGTTTTTTCCAATTGAACATTGAATATGTGTTTTATTAATTTGTTCCTCGCGGTAAGAAGGATGAGAATATATATCGAGAGAAAAAAAATTCACAGAAAAGGAAAAAAAACCAAAACACAGAAAGAAAAATTGTAGTTTTCTTGAAAGAAAATATTCACTGGGTAAAGAAATTTGAACAATAAAAGCCTAATATTACGAATACTACTAATTAATACTACTACTACTAGTAGTAGTATTATGAGTAGTAGTAAGAGTTGTTGTTACAACATAACCAACCAAACACCAGGCTAGAATTGAAAATTGAAATACTAACAACTAACTGATACGCTACGCTACACATACAACAAACACTTGTTGTCCCAGCTGGAATGATTACATATCCAACATGATAGATAAACATTGAACATGAGATAGAAACAAAATAAACTTGACGAATAAAAAGAAGGCATTAGTTGTGTTGTATTAAAGGGATTAGCAAGCAGCAAGTAGTAGTAGCTGAGTTTTAGTACAAAATGCAATGTGCACATGTGGGAATACAAAATCTGTCAGAAAGTAGGTGTGTATGTGTGTGCGTGTGCGTGAGTGTCTGGAAAAAGCCACGACACTCTTCTATTCACATAATTGCGCATTAACAGGATCGGAAAAGAGAAACACAAATAATAATAATAAAAGTAATAATAATAATAATAATAATGCTACCTAGGCGTCATATTACAAATACAAAATAAATAAAATACCTAATTAAATTATAAATATCCAGTAATATGAAACGTTCTCAACGAACACACACACACATGTAGACAGATGAACAGAGGAGACAGTGAGGAATCAGTACAGTACAGTTTGGCGAAATTCACATGTCAACGACAACCAAGAAGAAGAAGAAGAGACAAGGGAAAAAACAGAGGCCACATGATAATCATAATCATAAAAATGTTGACGGCTATGAATAAACAACATACAAAGAGGAAGAAATTGGAAAAGCTGCTGCCCAACTTGCGTAATATACTACTACTACTACTATTGAGAATATACCTACCTACCTACCTATTTACCTAATGGAACGGACGACACTCCATTGTTTTATGTGTGCATGTGAGAGTGTAGGAACAAAGAGAGAGAGGAGAAAACTGGAAGGGAATAGCAATAACAACACAAACAACAACCTAAATCCACCTGAGGTATATAAATAAATATTGCAGTTAAACAATATGAATAGTCCTAGTAATAGGAATAATACTAGTAATAATAATAATAATCATAATCATAGTAAAAATCACCAGTAATAAGACATGGAAATAATAATAATAATAATAATTTCAAATTAAATGTATGCAGAAGAATAAATAAATGAACAATAAGTTATCAATGCCTAATTGATAAATGAAGAATACATGTATGTATGTTATATGTATATGTATGTGTACTTAAATACACAGATGTATGTATGTATAGATATTATATGCGTCTGGAGAAGTAGAATCAATCGAGAGAAAACACCTAAATGATGATAATGAGGATGATATTGAAAAAAAAATTATTTTTTGTTAAAAGTGGGCATTTTGATGAATTGCAAATATTTTCTCATAGTCCTAAAAATTTCAGAAATAAAAACAAAACAAGAGATAGATAGAGAATAAAAAATGAGACAATATTAAAATGTATTCGGGTCATAACAAGTGCATATATATATATATATATATATATATATATATATATATATATATGTTGTGTGTATATAAACACACGAATCCAGAAGATTAGGATTTGAGAGAGCTCAAAGAATGGATACACTTGCGCCATTGCAAACGATTCTGAGCCATATCGTTCAAGATATCTAACCATTGGTGACTTTCGTCTCCCGTACCGCAACCAGGTAGTTTACATCTACCAACGTGTTTCAGTCCACTAGTCAGTGACTTCATAGATATGTGCCATGTTTTGGTCTGGCCGTCACTAACTTTCTTCCAACCTACTCCTACACCACAAAACGTCGCTCGACCAGGCAGTCGGTGGTTAGCCATACGCAACACATGTCCCAACCACTTCAACTGATGAAGTTTCACCACTTCATCTATTGATCTGTCATTTTTTACCTAGCACCCGTCCCCTAATAACACCGTTGCTCACTCAGGTGTCCCACGACATACAAGCAATATTTCTAAAACATTTATGATCGAATACTAGTAACCTACGAATATCTTCTACTCTTAACGGCCATGTTTCACAGCCAAATAGGAGAACGCAGCGAACTGCGGCGCAGTACACTCGTCCTTTGGTTAGCGAACGGATATCACGCCTACGCCATAAGTGACGCAGGTTGGAAAAAGCCAGTCGAGCTTTCTGTATCCGAGCTGAGACTTCGTCAGTCACCAGGCTATCAGCACTGATGAGACTCTACAGATAAGTGAAGTGATCAACACGTTCGACTACTTCACTCCCTATCACTAGTTCAGCTGTCGATGCAACCCAATCTTGAAGCAACATTTTGCATTCCGAGGGTGAGAACCGCATGCCGAACATGCTCGCATTGTTGCTTATGGTAGTCAGAAGACTCTGCATTTTGTCAGCGTCTTCACCGAATAGAACTATATCATCGGCATATTCTAGATCAGTAAGCGATTTTCCTGGTAGAAAGTCAACGCCTGAAAATCTGATGAGCTTAATGTTAACTCTAAGAGGATGTCTACGACAAAGTTAAACAAGAATGGAGAGAGTGGACATCCCTGACCGACACCACTTGAAGTAGTGAATTCAGATGACAGTTCGCCATATGCTCTCACTCGACCAGTGGTGTTCGAGTAGAGAGCTTGTATAAGGTTAATAGACTTCTTTCAATGACAGACACTGCCACAGAACCTCACGATCCACTGAGTCAAATGCCGCTTTTAGGTCCAGGAAGACAACTATTGTAGGACGCCTAAATGTGTGTCTGTGTTCCAGGACCTGTATTAGTGTGAAGATGTGGTCTATATGGTCTATCTGGAATTTAGTCAATTCAACGATTCGATAAACATTCTGAGTGATGCGGCATCAATCGAAAATATCCATTCTTCAGTTTTTCACAAAATATCACTTTTTTATTCTGAGAACTTATCATCTTCGCTTGGATTTATTCTCTAAATGTACGAAATCTAAAGGTCAGTCAACTACATCCAATCACATAACACAATGACTGATCTAAAAGTCCAAACCGAATGAATTTCAATGGAAGGTGATTTGACACTTTACATAACCTTATTCTTATGACAGAAAAAAAACTAACAACTCGTAAAACTTTACTCATTTCACAAAAATATTCAAAAACATAAATAAATAAGCTACTTACATCGGACAATGACATACGATTGTTTACATGAGCATATTTACAAAATAATAAATTAGAAAAATCTGTATGTAAATTAATTAATTCTAATGTTGGCCAACCATCAGTTTGTAAAACTATTTCATTTAAGAAATGATTTAATTTTTTCAAATCTACTTGAATTTCTGTACAAGTAGTAGTAGCAGTATTATTATTAGTGCTATCATTCAATTTAGGTGATGATGATGGTTGATAAGGTGACTGATGTTGATCATCTTGAGATTTGGATAAACTGGATTGTTGTTGATTTAACGGATCTTCAGAAGGTGATTTGAATATATTTAATGCTGTAATAAGAAATTTTTGAAAAAAATTTAGCCGTGGCACTAATATAAATTAAAAAATAAATGTCTGAAATGAGATAGGTAACCAATTCAACATTTCCTAATCATAAATAATGTATTATAGTGAAATGTGATCTGAAAATAGTCTGATTGGCTCAGTCAGTGGACCAATCAGTATAAAGCATTCATTCTCTAATATGATTGGTTAAAAACATACACCAATGAATAGTTGCAAATTTTTATCTACATAATAATTCTAATTCATTCAGAAAACCATTTCAGTTATTTTTTACTGATAGCCTTGGGAACTCAATGAAAAGATACTACTATTTACTGAATGATATAAAGTTTGAAGAGAATACTTAGTAAATAATTCGTTTAAACAAATGATAGAGGATTTAAATGTTCATGTGATATGATTACAAATACCCACTGTAACTGACTCTTCATCTCACTTCATGTTTCATAATAATGTTTTCCCTCAATGTTGATAACAATATTGGTAGGATATAAAATGAGTAGTAGTAGTACTTATGAACTAAAAAGGAACAAACACCTTCCTTCTATATAATTATTATTTATATTCGAGTTCGTTCTTTTCTGGCTCTTATATCGCACACGCAACAACAAATGCAAGAGAAGACGACCAGTGTAGCAGCAACAGGTTTCAATTTACATAAAGGGCAAAGTAAAATTCTTCCATACAATACAGCATGCGCCAACCAAATCACTCATGATGGAGATGCCTTAGAGTACGTTAAAATGTTTACATATCTGGACAGCATCATCGACGATCAAGGTGGATCCGATACAGATGTGAGGGCGCGGATCGTCAAAGTAAGGGCTGCAATTTTACAATTGAAGAACTTCTAGAACTTAAAACAATTGTCGGTAAACATCAAAATCAGAACTTTTATTACAAATGTCAACAAAGCTCTACTGTATGGGGTGGAAACTTGGAGAACTACGAAAGCCATCACATTACACCGGGGAATAGAGAAAGACATGGGAGGATTGAACAAGAATAGGACAGAACTGGGTAGGGACAATGTATGTTAGAGAAAACTGGACGGCCCATTCTTCATTGGGAGTGACAGGTGTAAGTAGTCGTTCTTTTCCATATCAGTTCAAATGCTCATAAATCGTGAGCGATATAAAACATGATAGAAGTGAAATAGATACTAAATACGCAAATGAGAAGGGTAGTACTCCATGGCAATGAAACTTATACACGGCTAGATTTCCGTACTACGGATGATTGTGTTGAATGTAAATAGAACTCCGTCTAAACATATTCTACAGTTACTGTCAGACCGAAGCTCAGATAAACAAGGAAGGTTGAACATGGGGTTAAGTGACCTTATCCCGTAGAAATCCAACTTGCTAAGAAGAAGCTAACCAAATAAATAATTCACTAATCGACATACTATGCTCCATCAGAGGTAACAGATGTAAGTAAAAATGTAAGGCAACTATTGAAACGGATAAATAATGATGATGAATTTCAAGGAAGTAAGTTTTACAATAACAAAACAAAAATTTCGAATACTTTTACCCATGTCACGTACAATGAATCTTTTATAGTCAACATAAAACAACTTTATAATATATATGCACATATAATTATAGATGAATGAACAATAGATTTTTACAAAAAAAAATAGCCTACATTCTTCATTGAGTGTGAATTGTGAAGAATCAAATTGATTTTCATCAAAGGATTTCATCATTGCAGGCTGTATGAAAATTGAATTAAATAAAACAGGTGAAAAACAAAGCAAATTAACTAGAATATATATGTATTTATATATTGCATTGCGGGGTTGTTGTGAAGATTGTTAAGTTTTATTTGTAACCATGAATCGATTAATGTTAGACTACCATTAGAAACCTGGAAGCACTGGACGGCCGTTTCGTTCTGGTATGGGACTCATCAGCAGTACGCATCCACGACTGTTAGGGCGTTTGCGCACAATACCGAAGGTCCTGGGTTCGAATCCTGCGCGGTGCAGGAGACGTGGATGCGCACTGCTGATGAGTCTCATACCACGACGAAACGGCCGTCCAGTGCTTCCAGGTTTCTAATGGTGGTCTAACATTGATCGATTCATGGTTATAAATAAAAATATGTATATTGTTATGCTCATCGTTAGGTATGCTTGAAACTATAACGGGTTCACCATAGTCGATAAACGATAACAAAACAATGAACCAGAATCCAGGTAGGCAACTCAAAACAGATAACGAGAAGTCTTGATATAACGTAGAAAGTGTATTCTACAAACACCCAGCCAGCACACAATGAATCCAAGCACAAAAATGGCGTTTATTTATACATCATAGAGACGTACTTAGGAGAGTCGCAAAAATAACACACTAAAATAACACAGCAGCCAATCAAAGCCAAGGATTCTCCTGGTGGGAAATGTGACCTCCACGTCAATTGATCAGCTAGCTCATGAATAAAATTCAAAGTTAAGACATTTATCAAGCGACTTTGGGGAATCTAACATCTTCAGGATTCTTCAACACCTCTAGTTTTGACTTTATAAACTTATCTCACTGAATCATACTTCTTGAATAATATCTTCTAATTCTAACCTCTCCGATTACTTCTAATACCTTTACTACCTCTACTACTCTATTGGATTTGAATTGACAATTATATCTCTGTGCTGATGTGTTATGGCAACATGAACTGATGTACTTACGTACGAAATTCTATGTTGCATCTGACTGACTGACTTATCTAACATCCCCAACACATATGTGGATAAAACGTTCATGCACCATACTCCACAATTTATACAGACTAAAAACTCCATAATCAGTAGTGATAGAAAGTTAATGACATATTGAATGTACCCCTAAGCATTCTGGCACGGTCAAAGTGCATCAAAAGTTTTATTTATAAAGTGAGTGAATCTAAATAGTCACGAATTCATTCGACAGGTTTCAACCGTTACGTCTCGATTTTAAGTATATGTTATGCTTGCTACCAGCTGAAAAGCGTGAACTGTTACGAGTTCACCTTACTCGATAAATGAGAGCGAAAACATATGATCCAGTGACACAATAAGCTACTTTAATTCCTTTATCCCCAACCCGGCTAACTATATTAGGAAGTCTTGATAAGGTGTGGAAAATGCTTTCTATAAGTACCAAGAAATAAGAGGTCGACAAGCATACAAATCGACTTTATTTATACATGATGGAAACTTCCAGATGACCAGATGAGATCACTTCATTAATACAAATTAGAAACGTTACAAAAGGACGAATACATATTGTTTGTCACTGAAATTTTCCAAGCGAGAGGAAAAATGCATATAAGCTGGATAGACAAACACACTTCCTATTCCCCCTCCCCGCATTCTTTACTTTCCAGGGTGAAATAGTCAGTTTTGTGGGAAGTGTGACATTTCAATCTGAGAAATTGTACAACATACATACATAACAAGGAAAAGAGTAACAGACAAAAAGATTCCACTTACTCCAGGAGATGATAACGCATCCATATCACCATCATCACCATTACCAACACCACTAGCGCCATCGCCACGATGATGATGATCATCATCATCGATTTCACTAGTTTGTAGTTTTGATAAACTTTTTAAAGAAGATGTAACAGAAATCCGTCGACGACGACGTCTATTAGATGAATGTAATTGTAATATGTCACTTAATTCAAGGACCGGTGATTCACCCTTTGATTAGTAAACATTAAATATAAGAAGAATAAGAGAAGATGCATTAGGAAATATGAAATAGTGAAGATCAAACTTTCACAATAACTTATAACACAATTAAAACGTACAACTTTCGTATGTAAGTATATCAGTTTAGGTTGCCATATCACATTAGCATAGAGACGCAATTGTATTAGGATATTCATCCAACATCCTAAGAGAATTATCGGTCAATTCCAACTGGTCAATTTTATGATCGTCCTAGATATCAATGCCACATACTCCAATGTTGTTTCTTATTGGTTGTCCTGACTATCAATGTCAATTCAAATGTTACTTCCTATTGGTCGTCTTAACTGTCAATGTCAGCGAATTCGATGCTGTTTCCTATTCGACCAAAATGTATAAATACGCATCATCTGTAACATGTTTTACTTCATATCATGTCTTCTTATTTTTTACTAAATATGTGGGTTGGGATAATCGGATTTGAGTAGCATGTCGTGTCACCGGATCCTCGATCCTCTCTCTCTCTCGTTTTCCGACTAAGGTAAACTCGTAATAGTTCAAGTAGTCTATCAAGTTGACGTGTTTACGTGTAGGCGCGTAACAAGCTTCTCTAGAAATTACTGCCACATAAGTCAATTGACAAACAATAACATTACATTTCTGAATAAAAAAAAAACTTAAACAAGTGTATCAATATGCCGCCACATTTTTTACTTACATGTAATCGTCGACTATAACGATCACCTAGAGGTAAAGGTAATGAAGGCTTTGAATTAGTTGTCGATCCTTGTGATGTTGTTGTTTTATGTTGTTCCATGGTATATGGATGTTCCGATTGTTTAGTTTTTGAATGACGTAATGAAGAAGTATTCATAGAAGTTTTTTTATTTAAATGAACATGATTAGATAAACGTGCTGCACGTGCTTGATTTGCCTATAGAATTCATATATGTAATTTATAAATGAGAGTACATTACACATTTACTGAATAATGCATTTACAAAAACACTTCACATAAGTATTAATGAATAAAGTCAGTCAGTCAGTCAGTCAGTTAGTCAGGTACAACGTAGAACTTTGTACTTACTGCTTACAACAGTTCAAGTCCTCATATTACATTAGCATAGCGAGAGATTGAACTGTCAATTCAAATCCCATAATGGAAAATGTAATCGAAGTATTAGCGGTAATCAAAAAGATTAAGGTTGGAAATAAATTTCGAAAAGCGAAAGATGAAGGTGACAAGGAATTCAGAAGATTCAAATTTGAGCGAACACAAACCATGGATGGACCTACGCTATAAGGAAACGATTTTGAGCCATGTCATTCAAAGTCTCTAAACATCGGTTAATATCGTCTCGCGGATCCAAACCAGGTAGTCTACATCTACCAACATGACTTAGTTCACTTGTCAGTGACTTCATGGATTTGTGCCATGTGTTGATTTGGCCGCCCCTAGCTTTCTTCCAGCTTACTGTTACAGCACAAAACGTGGCTCGTAGACACAGTTGGTGGTTGGACAATCGTATGACATGTCCCAACCACCTCAACTGATGCGGTTTCAATGAATAAAGAAATAGATATGAGGACAGAAACTATTTCAGTAGGTTTGATTAGAAAATCTATGCAATTTAACAGAAACCTACCACTATTTTAAACACAATGCATAAAGTTACGCAGTGTTTAGTTAAAAAATTCAAAATGATGACTACATCAATAACCCTTCATTAGATCAGTTGACGACTTAGCAACTCAGTGATAACACTTGAAACCATGAAGTTGGATAACATAGATTTAAAAATCCTACAAGGGCCAATCCGGTTTCCTCAAACATTCCCCTACTTCTTGTTAATAAATGCTGACCATCACGATATCTCAGTTGAGCAGCGCTGTCTGTCGTCAAACTTCTAACACATAGTCGACTGACAACATATCAATAAATATCAAAATTTATTGGTTGAGATGTTGTGTGTGTGTGTGTGGTGCGGTGCAAACAATAGTAATAATACTTCACCGGGGTTAGGAAGATTGTTAAGTTACACATTTGAAATCATCAATAGATCATTCTCTTAAATCAGCATTAGAAACCTGGAAGCACTGAAAGACGGCTGTTTCGTCCTGCAGTATGGGACTCATTAGAGGCAATGCGCATCCACCACTCCTGCATCTCACAGGATTCGAACCCACGACCTACGGTCTTACCACGCGAACATGACTAATCTCTCGACCACGAACCAGGTATCTTAACACTGTGGCTGTCTAACTTCGATCAATTCACAGGTCTTCCTCAACCTCATACACAGTCTTCGGGTAGTTACTATCTACATCCGAACAGATTGAACTTCACTGGTCACAACTTCTCACTAGAACTCGGAGAATGTACTTACACACACACACACACACACACACACATAAAAACATACCTCTTCACATAATTCATTCAAATCAGGCGGTTGTAATTCTTCTTCCATACGTAAACATGCTTCATCCCAAAATTCCGATGCTCTAGAACGAATATCACGACTACGTGGTATTGTTGGCGGATTATATTCCAATGCATTTAAATAGATTAATTCAATATCCTTGAATTAAAAAAAAAAAGTACAAACATATATAACCGAAAAATCGATATTATCGATTATGTATACAGTGTACTTTGAAATAACATTATAGAATAAGCATAGACATACATGAATGGAAAATACAGAGTAAATTGGTGCGCTTTAAACTTACTCACTCACTCACTCTGAGACAGATAAAAATAACTGAAAATGTGAAACTATGGAAGAATATCTCTGGAAATGAGGAAAACATTTACCAAGCGTCTAATTTTGCTTGTGATTTTAATCGTTATTATCTTGGAATATATATATATATATATATATATATATATATATATATATATATATGCATGAATAACACTAAATTACTTAGTGCTTCCGCTGTTTTGATGATAGGTTAGAAATGAGCGAGAATTCTGCTTGAGCAATCGCCCATGATTTTTTTTTGAGCGGACACATTGTAACAGTACTGCCTCATTACTAGAGTATGTGTTAAATAAATATGATTCACTATGAACGTAGACTAGTGACTCGTAATTGACAATCAATGCAATTGCGCCATTACAAACAATTTTGAGACATGTCGTTCAATGTCTCTAACCATCGATTATTATCATTTCGTGGACCCCAACCAGGTAGTCTACATTTACCAACATGACTCAGTCAGTGCGATTGTCAGTGACTTAATGGATTTCTGCCATGTTTCGGTTTGGCCGCCCTTAAACTTTCTTTCAACCTACTCCCCTACACCACAAAACATCGCTCGACGAGCGAACGAGGCCGTCTGTAATTCGGCTAGAGAAATAATAAATCGATCAATGATGTTATATCATCAATCACCATCAGAAACCAGGAAACATTGGATTGATGATCGAATTTAGCAAACATTAACATCATTAAATGCCAGCTCAGTTATCCAGAGGAGGTGAATCATTCACACACACAAGATTCTAGGTCCTAGGGTTCGAAACCCTGGGTGACTGGAGAGAGACATGGATGTGCACTGTCACTGACGCGTCCTACATACCAGGACGAAGTGGCCGTCTAATACTTCCAGGTTTTCCGAATGGTCGTCTCATAAAGATGATTCATTCATCATTTCCACACACAAAAAAAGGCCGATCAATAAACAAGCAGAAACATGTTCAATGTACACAATGTGTACTATTATTATTTATTACCTACCTTCATAAAATCATTCACATTTGTATATTGATGTGTATCAATTTTATCACGTATTATACTTAAATCCATTGGTTGTTTAATTACATCATGATAATCTGGTGCTTCATCCACATGAACTGGTCTAGTGAATACGAGAAAACGACGAAAACTTACTAAATGTGCTACAACTCTACGTAGAATTTGTCTAAGACGACGAAATAATTGTATTTCTCTTGATTCAATGGCGGCTAATTCTTCTTCTGATAACAATGGAACATTGAATAATAATGATGGATGTGAATGTGAATGTGAATTATTATTATTATTGTGAGGAGGATATTTTCTTGATGTAGTGAAAATATTATTGTCATCATCTTTGTCAACAGCAATATGTGGTTTTGGACTAGGTCTATGGGATTTAATTTAATATTGAATAGAGGAGAGGAGAGGGGAAAAAATCGGGAAAAATGAGATGTAGCGATCAAGCTAATTAAAAAAAAATATTGACAATATGGAGGATATATTTGGATTTTGAAAATAAACGTTTCAATGAAGTCAAGTTCTAGTTGAGAAGACGTGACCACCAGTGGAGGAGTTCAACCATGTCGGGTGTAGGCAGTAACTAACTACCAAAGACAAATGGGTGAGGTTGCGTAAAAATCCCTAGATCAATCAGAGTTAGACATTACCACCGTTGGATGCCAGCCCAGTGGTCCGACGGTAAGGCGTTCGCCTATAATGCGAAAGGTCCCGGGTTCGAGTCCTGCGAGGAGCGGGAGTCGTGGATGCGCACTGCTGAGGAGTCCCATACTGGGACGAAACGGCCGTCCAGTGATTCCAGGTTTCTAATGGTGCTCTGTCTAACAATGATTGATTGATTGATGATTTCAAATGTGTAAATAAGAAGTCAATTAAGTCAGAGCTACAACATGGAACTTCGTAGGTACGTACGTGCATACATCAGTTCAAGTCGCCATGGTACATTAGCACACAGAGATATAATTGTCAGTTCGAATCGTACAGGAGTAATAGGCGGTTGTTAAAATGGATAGGGTTCAAAAAATTATTATTTAAGAAGTATAATCCACTGAAAGAAATTTGAAAAAAAGGGATAAGAGGTCATGAGTGAGAAGATAAAGAATGAATGCACTTGTGTCATTGCAAGCGATTTTTAGTCATGTCATTTACCATGTCAGTTAACGAGAGAGAGGATCGATGATCCGGCACAACACGATAGGCTACTCAAATCCAAGCGTCTCAAACCGCTTGAAGTAAGAGAAAGAAAACTTGATCTAAAAATAGAACGTATATTTCACAAGCACCCAAAAAGTACCGCGGTCCGAAGCCAGAAGGATCACGGACTAAGCATCCGCGTCGTAAACGTTACATATAATGCATATTTATACAGTTAGGACGAATTAGGAGACAACATTTGAAGTATGTGACATTGACAGTTAAGATGCCCAACAGGAATTAACCAATAAGATATTTGATGAATATCCTAACAGTCTCTAACCATCGGCTCTTATTGTCTCTGGGACGCCAACCATGTAATCTACACCTGCCAACATAACTCAGTCCAGTTGTCAATGACTTTATGAACTTGTGCCATACCAACCCCCGTACACCACGAAACATAACTCATCGAGGCAATTAGTCGGTGGTTGGGCATACGTCATACATGTCTCAACCACCTCAACTGGTGACAACTCACTAGGTTATCTATTGATCTGACATCCTAACCCTTGTATAGTACACTTTGCCTAACACTAACATTGCTTACACTCGATTAGCCCAAGATATACGTCGAACAGTCAGTCAGTTGCAACGTAGAACTTCGTACGTATGTACATAAGTTCAGGTTGCCATACCACATTAGCACAGAGACGCAAATATCAAATCAAATCCCATAGTGATAAAGATAGTAGAGGTATTAATGTTAATAAAGAAGACTAGGGTTCGAAGATATTATTCAAGAATAACAATTCAGTGAGATAAGGTTAGAAAGACAAAGGTAGAGGTGCTGACGAATCCAGAAGATTAGGATTTGAGAGAGCTCAAAGAGTGGATGCACCTGCGCCATTACAAACGATTTTGAGCCATGTCGTTCAAGGTCTCTAACCACTGGTGACTTTCGTCTCGCGGACACCAACAAGGTAGTCTACATCTACCAATATGACTCAGTCCACTAGTCAGTGACTTCATGGATTTGTGCCATGTTTTGGTCTGGCCGCCCGTAGCTTTCTTCCAACCTACTTAGACACCACAGTCGGTGGTTAGGCATTCGTATAATACATGTCCCAACCACCTCAACTGATGAAGTTTCACCGCTTCATCTATTGATCTGCCATCCTTACCTAGTTAGTACTCGTTTCCTAACGACAGCATTGCTTACTCGGTTGTCCCACGATATACGAGCAATGCTCCTTAAACATCTATGATCGAATACTAGTATCCTACGAACATCTTCTACTCTTAACGGCCTCATGTTTCGCATCCATATAGGAGAATCGATGCGAACTGCTGCGCACATACACCCGTCTTTTGGTTAGCGAACAGATATCTCACCTACGCCATAAACGGCCACCTTGAGCCCGGCTACTTCCAATCCCAAGCCCGAACAAAGGAGAAAGGTAGGTAGGTGCATTGCTTACTCAGTTAGTTGTGTCCCACAACGATATACGAGCGCAAATATGTTGAGCAATAAGTTTCGCAAAAAAAATCTATGCCATAGTATCACAACAACAAAAAGGTAACTTACATTTTTTCATTAGATAATTTTTCAACATGTTGTTTATAATCATGCATATCCAATAATTCAATCCATGTTAATTGTGGCCAATCAATAATTACCGAGGTGAAAAACACACAACGTTCATGTTGATTAGGTAATTCTAAATAAACAAATTCTGTATGATTATTCATGCCAAACAGATTACATAACATTTGATTGACAGCAGGTGGTGGTGAAGATGATGAATTATTAATCAATGCATGATCGTCGTCATTGTTAGTGTGATTGGGATTGGGATTATGAGTAGTATCGTCTAGATCGATGAAATTGTTCACTTGTTTGTCATCGGCATCAGGATGATGATGACGATCACGATCACGACCAACAGTTGTTGTTGATGAGTTGATGAATGTTGTTGGTATGGTTTTCGGTAAATTATAACTATTATTCTGATACTTTTTTGCATGACATAATGCGGATGATTTATAACAATCAGGCAATTGAATACTGAAATGAAATTGCATACGATTTAAATCATGATTATATGTATAATTCATATGATGTGAATTCAATTCAATAGGATGCGTGCTTGTATGATCATCATCATCAGCAGTAGCAATATTATGATGATTAGTGTGATTACATAATGTAGTATGAGTATTAGTAGTAGTAGTAGTACTATTAGCAGTAGAAGTAGTAGTAGTAGTGGGAACAATAGGACAAGGTGATGATCGTCGATATGGTGAATGAGATGATGGTGATAGAGATTGTTCATTGAAATTCATTGTCTCTGTGTTGAGTTGACATTTTAAGTCTATTGGAAAAGGAAATAAGAAAGAAAATAAGAATTGATGTTTGGCATATATTACTTACATACTTATGCCTTTTACACCCTAATGCAGCATAAGCCGCCGACTCGTATTTTCTCCAAACTATTGTTAGGATATTCATCCAATATCCTAAGAGAATTATTACTGGTCAATTCCTATTGGTTAATTTCTACTGGTCAATTTTATGGTCGTCCTAGTAGATATCAGTGTCACGTGAACCAATTTTGTTTCTTATTGGTTGTCCTGACTAGCAATGTCACTCCGAATGTTACTTCCTATTGGTCGTCTTAACTGACAATGTCACACACTTCGATGTTATTTCTCATTCAACCAAAATGTATAAATACGCATTGTGTAACGTTTTATGACCACGACCAAGATCAGGACCCGGTCCCGGATCCCTAGTCCGGGATCCTGATTCTCTTCTGGACTCGGACCTCATACTTTCTGGATGCTTGTAGAGTACAGGTTATACTTCATATCACGTCTTCTTATTTTTACTAAATATGGGGGTTGGGATAATTGGATTTGAGTAGCATGTCGTGTCACCGGATCCTCGATCTCGTTTTCCGACTAGGTAAACTCGTAATAGTTCAAGTATATCAAGTTGACGTGTTTACGTGCAGGAGTAACACCTACTCTGTCCTGGGTGGGGGAAGATCAAGAAAGAAAGAGTGGGAACACAATGGGATTTGTATGAAACGCATGAACAGTGAAATGTCAGACAATGGATTGATGTTTTGCAACAGGAACAGTCCAGTTCAATATGATGGATTGATATTTTGCAAATTAACGATTTACGACGATATGGTTTTCCTATTTTACCAATTAACTCTGTAATTTGAGATAAATACAATTCGGTTGCCCTCACCTGTGTTCTCCTTCACTACAATATGACTAGTCGAACAGTTACTATTTTCATAGATATTCTAAAAATGGTTGAATTAAAATTTTTTCCATATCTAATACATAAGGGTTCCCGATCATTAATTGCCTATTTACTGGTTAACTGCCAAGAATAGAGTAATTTTCCTGCCCCCTACCTATCACTGTGCTGTAGTGTGAAGGTACGACAAGGAAAATCAATCATATTGAGTGTAGAATATCAGTCATTTGTGCGGTGAGTGTGTACAAACTTTGGTTTTCTGAACAACATCATCATCAACACAAGGTTATGATGGTAGAGATGAGTTATTCCATTGCAATAGTGGCACTCAACTATGTTGCATTATAGTACTATGGAGATCGTAGGTTTATATTAGAAACCTGGAGGCACTGGAATGCCGTTTCATCCAGGTATGAGACTCATCAGAAGTGCACCTCCACAACTCACACGGTTCGGACCCAGGACCCTTGGTCTGGCGCGTGAAAGCTTTTAACCTCTGGACCATTGGGTCGGTATCCAATGTTACTATTGTATAACTCTGATTAATCTAAGGATTTTTGCACAGCCTCATGGTTTTCACATAAACACAATGATCTCCATAATACTACAATGCGAAAACCAAAACTGTGCTCACTAGTGACTAGCTTCATGAGGATACTGTCGAAGTTCTAGCGAGAAGATGTGACCAGTGGAGTTCAACCCTGTTGGGTGTGGGCAGTAACTAGTGACGACAGCGGACGAAGTCGTGCAGAAAATCCCTTGATTCATCAGAGTTAGACCTTAACACCGTTAGAAGCCGGCTCAGTGGTCCAGGGTTCGAATCCTGCGCGCTGTAGGAGTTCCGCATGCGTACTGCTGATGGGTCCCAAACGAAATGGCCGCCCAATGGTTCCAGTTATCGAATGGTGGTCTAACATTGATCAGCTATATCATTTATGAAACAGATATCCATCACAGGAAATGAATAACGGTCGGGTACCATCATGAATGCATTTGAAGTTAGACAGTTGGATACCGGTGTCAATGGTTAAGGGGGTTAACCCCTAACACACACACACACACAAGACTAAAAGTGTTAGATTCCATTCCCGAGTACACAGTCATGAAAACTCACTTCTGACGAGTCCTGAACTAAAATGAAATACCTAGGTTTAAGAACGATAGTCTAACGTATATACCCTTTGAATCAATTCATCATAGAGTATTTTGCACAACAATCATCCGACAGGCTGTAACTGACATCAAGATAGTTTAACAACCATTGTCATGAAACAAATTCATATAACGCTCAAAACAAACACATTACCATGTGATTTGTCATTGAAATTCGATAATATTGACGAACAATTGTGATTTGGTGTTGTGGTTGGTGTTAGGGTTGGTGTTGTCTGAGGAGGACTACTACTACTACTCTGATCACTATCATTATTATTATTATTATCATTATTATTGTACTGTTTTTTTGTCGTTGAACTATCCTTCTCTTCATCCACAAATGGAATAATTCGTGGTGGTAAACAATCCAACTGCTGCTGGTGTAGTTGTTGTTGCGAGAATGATGATGATGATTGTGTACATGTTCCAATAATCATCAGACGACGTGTATGCTTTCTGACAACACTATGATGATGAATGATGGTGTTTTGAAATGAACCAGTCAAATGTTGATGAGTAGGAGGAGGAGGATTTGAAGAGTTCAACTGATGATTGACAATTAATCCTGAAGGAATATAATTCAATTCATAATTGATTTCATCAACCAAAGCATTCAATCGATCACATAGATAAGTGACTGTTAATGGCGGCAAATTACGAAATAGTATATCGACCGATGGTAAATAGACAATCACTCCATTATTCATACAATGTGATTTATTATTATTATTATTATTATTATTATGATTATTATCATTGTCTAATGTATTTCGTATGGAAGAGATAATTTGTGCAACCGCCGCTTCCGGGCACATTCCGATACTTGTAGGGAAAGCGAATAGGTTGGCTAAATTTATTGTGTATACCTTGAGTGAATATGAAAACAATGACAGTAGTATTAGTAGTAGTATGTCAAGGAAATAGTAAAACATGGTATACGAGAAGAGGAACACGCACGCACGCACACACAAACAAACAACTACACAATATATATAAGCGGTACACATGGAATGACGCTTAGTGTGCCCTCTGAAACAAAATAACCTGAATAGGACTAGTGATGACGCAATTTGACTAGGATTCAAGCATGTAGCTCATGGGAATCGTTAGTCTTTACTATCTCGATGTACAGTGGTCCGGTATGCAGTGATGTTAGCTAGGACATTTATTACTGAAGGTACTATGATACGATGTAGACTGTTTAAAGAATGATAAGAGTGAAAGCAGTAAACTCGTGCTCGAGTGACGGAGCCACATTACTGTCAGTTGTACAGCGGTGGAATGGTAGAGTCGGATGTGTTGTCCAGACAATCGGAATCTCCAGGGTAGGAAAATAAGTTAGGAGAAACTAGTTTTAAAATGTCACCTTATTATGCATGGACTTCGGACTTCAATTGTAAGACTTTCTTTGAAGTATGGACTTATAACATTGAAAACTTCACGTAACTAGGATGGACTTAAGTTACTGGTCTTCAATAAATATTTAATGAGTACTGATCAGCTGTTACATTATCAAGGCCCCCTCGGAACTCGGTCCGTACTTCAGAACTGTCAAGAAGAAATAGCTAACTGGGTAATTGGCAATCACATACATGCTGCCAGCAAGCAACAAAATCTGTCTTGTTATTACAAGTCCAAGTTGCAACCAGCTACTACTCCTACTCTACACCTACCAAATAGGACTCAGTTCAGTTGAGTAGAGTGCCCAGTTTTCTCTTTGGCCACTCTTCTAGCTTTCTTAAAGACTTCGTAGAATTTTTTCGCACATTAATTTTCTAAGGAATGAACCCTATGACCAACCCTCCTCCTATATCTGGGCTTAGAAACGGCATTAGCCCCGGAGGGGCTGCTCCGGGTGGAGTTTTCTTAAATGAATTCCTTACATTTACTTGAAACTATGCCTAATAAAAAGGTGTATATTCACAAATGACAGATACAACACAGACCTTCGTATGTATGTACATCAGTTCACGTTGCCTTACCACATTAGCACAGAGACGCAATCGTCAGTTCAAATCTAATAGTGGTAGCGGTGAAGCAGTAAAGGAGAAAGAGAAAGATAGATATGATGAAGAATTCCGAAGATTAAACATTTGAGAGAACACAAAGAATATATGCACCTGCACCACTGCAAACGATTCTGAGTCATGTCATTCAACGTCTCTAACCAATGGTGACTGTCGTCTCGCGGACCCCAAACTAGTTAGCCTATGTCTAGCAACATGACTCAGTCCACTTGTCAGTGACTTCATGGATTTATGCCATGTTTTGGTTTCGCCGCCCCTAACAATCTTCCAACCTACTCCTACACCACAAAACATCACTCGTCGAGGCAGTCGGTGGTTAGGCATACGCAGCACATGTCCCAACCACCTCAACTGATGAAGTTTCACCACTTCATCTATTGATTTGCCATCCTTACCCAGGAACCGTTTCCTAACAACAGCATCGCTGACTCCATTGTCCCAGGATAATACGAGCAATGCTTCGTAGATACCTATAATCGAAGATAATCAATCTACCAATGTCCTCTACTCTCTCTCTCTCACCGACCATGTTTCACACATCCGGGTATACAACAAATACAAACAAATACAACATACAAAACACAGACACACACACACATATATAGATAGATAGATAGACAGATAGATGCTTACATTTATTGCTTCCAGTTTATGCCATACAGCATTCATCAACATTTCCGACACATTTCCATGAATCAATAATTTCGACTTGACCATCATCATACACGACGATGACGATGAAACAATCTTGTCATCATGATCATTATCATTATTATTTGATATGAATGATGACAAAGATGTTGATGACAAGGATGGATGACAATATTTGCCAGTGGATATGAATAGACGACGTGTTAAATAGTTGACAATGGTATTCACATGACGTAATAGTAGTGTGGTTAATAAGGGGGATAATGGTGTACGTATTGTAGTGGCTAATGCATTGGCTGATGGTGTTAAATTTAACATGGAACCATCATTACGAAAACGTTCTGTTGAGGCGTGAACAATTTGTAATGCTTCAAACCAATCGGAATGAGAGACCTTTTTAAGGAAGAGGAGGAAAAAAGTAGAAATCGATTGAGACACACAGAGAGAGAGAGAGAAAGAGGGAGCGGGATTAATAGTACAAGTGAAAAGTACAATAACCAATTGAAATCATTTTTATTCATAACTATAGGTAGATACCACCTGTTATATGATGACCGGTTTCCGAGAGCTGAACGTCACACAATAAGTGGTAATCCGGCAAACTGAGCAGTTTTCCAGTGAGAAAGCGTATGCTCCTGGGGTTGACTTGCATCTTGACTGTCGTTCACCGCTGTCTGAGAGGACATCTTCGGGAACGAAGAACGGCTTGCTGCTAAGTTTCTTCTCGTGGCGGGGCTGCCGGTAGGTTGAAAGTATCAAGCGAGATGTCAAGGGGAAGGCTTTCTGCTCTTGATGGTCGATCTGGGGCTAACCGTCTGCGTATCTGATTTCGATGACGTGACCATTTATCACCTCCTACCTCTACTTTGTACATAACTCGACCAACTCTTCTGACCACTCGCGCTTCTGCCCAAGGACCATGGTTCGTTCTGTAGTCGCGGGCAAACACAGAGCATCCCACTTCGTAAGCGCATTGTTTTTGCGGCTTTGTCTCTACTGATGTGGGTGCATTAGTCGGATGCATCAGGCTGTGGATCGTTTTCAATCTTCTTCCCATCAGGATTACTGCTGGGGACTTTTGCTCAGGTAACAATATTATACACAGACACTACTGGTCTACGGAGATATAAATATTTCATCCACTTAGAAAATGAACTAGTTTCTTGACCAATGAAGGATATGCATTCATCCTTGAGGACATTTTTGAAGGTCATCATAATGACCTTTTCATCCGGGTGCTTCTGATTGGCTCACTAACATCAGCTACTTATAGGCAACTAAGAAAGAAATTGTTGACATTTACATGCCTACGTAAGATTCGAACTCCAACTGGAGCCCCTCTGGGACTACTGCCGGTCCCAAGCACGGATAAAAGAGGAGGGTTGGACATGAAGTTAACGACCGCAACTCGTAGAAAACTAACTCCCTACAAAAACGCTAACCAGAAGACATAATTCAAACCATTTAAACTCTGCCCTGAGAGTTAGGTCTTCATTTAGAAGTTTTGGCGTCCCACTATGAAAGCCGAGTTTCTTCAGAAGTCACGAGGCCGATGCCGCATCTCACAATCACAACAACCATTATTTCAGGCACATGGAATGTTCGTACAATATGGGAGATCGGCAGAATCATCCAAGTTGCTGCAGAAACGAAAAGATACAACCTGCCAATGCTTAGAATCATCCTTGAAGCACATTGAACCCGCCGCCTATGCTTCACTAGGGGGTAACAGGCGACAGTAAGTAAAGTAAGATTTTGGAACTTAGGTTCTAAAGTAAGACAAAATCAATGAATGAATGAATGCCAGTAAGTTACAAGCAACCTGAACTGATGCAGGTACGTACGTACGTATGTACGTACAAAGTTCTCCATTGTACCTGACTGACTAACTGGGAGTTACAACCAGAATTATTAGCAGTATAGATGGATGATGATGGCTGGGTTGGCAGTGGATTATTGCAAAACACAAGTTTCGCAAACCCCACCCCGCCTTATTTGAGACTTTTATGTAGTTGTATGCATTGGACATCCGGAAATCGGATGTGCACTACCCGGACTCGAACTCACACAGTATGATTGTTAGTTTATATCAATTGTAGACATAATAAATAAATAGGGAAGAGAGAGAAAAAATAAAATTTAAAAAAAAAACAAGAAACTTACCACTAAATATTTATGTTCTATAGCTAATTTTACACGACTATTATATACTTGTGGATAACATCGACGTAAACAGCATAAACATGCTTCTGTTGTTAATGCTTTTAAATCAGCACCAGAGAAATTGATTGTCATTGCAGCGATTTGATCAAGTAACTTATGATTAAAATAGGAAGAAAAGTGATCATACAAATTTTTTTTAAAAAAAGAGAGAGAACTGTATAGAATGTGGACAGAATGGAACTATGATATTACTATTAAAAAAAAATAGATTACGAACAAAAACAATTAATCAGGTGACCGACAGATACAAACACAGAACTTCGTACATATATATAACAGTTCAGCGTGTCGCACGGCATTCGCACAGAGACGCGCAACTGTCAGTTCAAATCTAATAGTGGTAGAGATAGTAAAAGTATTAGCAGTAATGCAAAAGATTAGGGTATAATTCAGTGAGATAGGTTTATAAAGACAAAGATAGACGTGTTGACGAATCCAGAAGATTAGGATTTGAGAGAGCACAACGAATGGATGCACCTGCGGCATTGCAAACGATTTTGAGCCATGTCGTTCAAGGTCTCTAACCATTGGTGACTTTCGTCTCGCAGACCCCAATCAGGTAGCCTACAGCTACCAACATGACTCAGTCAGTCCACTTGTCAGTGATTTCATGGATTTGTGCCATGCTTTGTGGTTTGGCCACACCTAGCTTTCTTCCAACCTACTCCTACACTACAAAACATAGCTCGTCGCGGCATTCAGTGGTTGGGCATACGTAACACATGTATCAACTACCTCGACTGATGAAGTTTCACAACTTCATCTATTGATCTGCCATTCTTACCTAGCACCCGTTTCCAAATAACAACGTTGTTCACTCGGTTGTCTTAGGATATACGAGCGATGCTTCAAAGACACGTATGACCAAATACTTGTAATCTACGAATATCCCCAACTTTCACCCGCCATGTTTCGCATCCGTATAGTAGGAAGGAATTGATTGAGCAATTCTCTATTTAGTGTTAGTTGAGTTTTGAATGGTTTTCCAGTTGATAATATAATTCATGCAATGAGATATGTTTTACGGTGTAGGGGTAGGTTGGAAGAAAGCTAGGTGTGGCCGAACCACAAAGCATGGCACAAATCCATGAAATCACTGACAAGTGGACTGAGTCATGTTGCTAGATGTAGACTATCTGGTTGGGGTCCGCGAGATGAAAGTCACTGGTGGTTAAAGACCTTGAATGACATGGTTCAAAAACCGTCGGCAATGGAGCAGATGTATCGAATCTTTGTCTCCTCTCCCTCGAATTCTATTCTTCTGAAATCCTTATCATCTTTATCTCTCTTTTGATGTTTATTTCACTGGATTATGCTTCTAGAAATGATATCTTTGAACTCTAACACTTCTACCAACTCTAATACTAAGGGGTCTGAATTGCCAATTCGATTTCTCTGCGCTAATGTGCGCGATACGACAACTTGAACTGATGTATGTAGGTATGTGCGTACGAAGTTCAATGTTTATAGTTGACTGACTGATTTTCCACTCAGAATGAAAAAATATATATACATATCAACTTACTAATGAATCTGGTTTCGGATCCCATTTTGCAGTAATCACATCAAGGATACGACGTCGAACTTCTTCAGTTGGCAATGTAAATATAAACTCACGATCAAATCGTCCAGGACGTCGTAATGCTGGATCAATAGCATCTGGTCGATTCGTTGCACCAATAATGACTACTTCAGCACGTTTATCTAAACCATCCATTAAACTGAGAAGAGTGGAAACAATGCTGGAATGAATTTGATCCTTTTCACATAAAATAGGAAAAGAGATAGACAGATAGACAGACAGATAGATGTATAGATAGATAGACAGATAGGAGAGAAGGCGTAAAAGCATTCCTGTAATTTTTACATCATACACTGTACTACACTGCAATGCATTGCATTTAGCTTTGGACAATAAATAACCCTAAAAACAAGAAACACTTGAGAGCTATTGAATTCTACGTATATACGTATATACGAGTTCCCAGTAGTGTATATTTACTCCATGTACCAAAAATCGAAGACAGCAACCTTTCATATAGTTTGGGACATTAGCTGTCCAGAACTCACCTGATAAAGATCCTACTTTCGGATTTCGTGTTTTCGCGCATGGGTTGATCATTTGACCTTGAGATCATATATTTCCCACTCAGAAAATCCCTGGCCGTTAATGATTGATGTATTGTCTTAGTACGCTATTTTTGTGCCTTTCCCAACGACGTTTCTATGATGTGTGCTTGTAAACCTCATATTTTCTGGGTGCTTGTAGAATACACTTTCTACGCCGTATCAAGACTACTTCTTCTACTTCGTGGGATCTTGGGATGCTCGAATTAGAGTAGGCTATCGTGTGACTGTATCATTTGTCTTTGATCTCGTTTACAGACAAAGGTGGACTCGTGATACTCTCAAGCATATCAGTTGACGAGCATATAGCAGATTTCGTGACAAAAGCGCTTTATCTTCAGACCGCTGTTATCGCATCATCTAATGGTTGACATTTTTAACTCATTTTGAGATCCTTCGACAGCTCCCATCTTACAATGTCATTAGTGTTGAGTAAACTATTTTTCTTTTACCAAGACTCTAGTGATCACAGATTCACACATTAGAATTCCAAATAATTTATTTGATTAGTAAAATCGATTTACACCTCAAATCTCATAAATTATATAATTAAAAATTATATTGAAATTCAAACCTATGAATACTACTGACTTGTTTTGATGAGCGAACCGGTGCTAAACCGTCAATTTCATCGAAAAATATCACTGAAGGACGCATTCGATAAGCTTGATGAAATAATAAACGTAGCTGACGTTCAGATTCACCAACCCATTTTGACAGACAATCAGCACCTTTACGCATAAAGAATGCAATAGGGCGACGATATTTCATAGGAGCAGTAGTAGTAGTAGTAGTATTGTTGCCAGTGTTAATCATCGGAGCAGTATTATCATGATTACCTTGAGCTAAACGAGTGCATTCATTGGCAAGAGCTCTAGCTAGTAGTGTTTTACCGGTACCTAAGAATAAAATATTAGCGAGATTACAAGAATGTTATATATATATGAGAGAGAGAGAGAGAAGTTAAACACATATAAGTAAAAGAAATATCTGTTTTACAGATTTATCTCTCAACTGAAGAAGGAATTTTCATCAAGTTGGAATTAAATTGTAATGGGATAACCAACAAAATTATGTTTTCTGGTTAGCGTTTGTTTAGCGAGTTAGTATTTTGGGGGATGGGGTCGCCAAGTCCATGCCCGACCCTACTTCTTTATCCGGGCCTGGGACAGGAAGTGGCCCCAGAGGGGTTCCAGGAGGAGTCGGTTGTCACAACATGCACCAACCAAATCACTCTTGATAGAGCTTCTTTGGAGGACATTAACAACTCTACATATCTGGGAAGCATAATCGACAATCAAGGTGGATCCGATGCAGATGTGAGGGAGCAGATCGGCAGAGCAAGGGCTGCATTTCTACAAGTGAAAAATATCTGGAACTCCAAACAAATATCAACCAACATCAACATCAGGATTTTCAGTACAAATGTCAAGACAGTTCTATTGTATGGAGCGGAAAATTGGAGAACTACGAAAACCATCATCCAGAAGATACAAGAATTCATTAACAGTTGTCTACGCAAAATACTGACGATTCGTTGGACCAATACCATACGCTACAACCTACTGTGAGAGAGAACAAACCATATTCCAGTGCAGGAGGAAATCTTGAAAAAGCGGTAGAAGTGGATAGGACACATTGAGCAAAGCACCCAACTGCGTCACAAAACAAGCCCACTCTTGGAACCCTCAATGTAAAAGGAAAAGAGGAAGGCCAATGAATACATTACCCTGAGAAGTGAAGACTGACATAGGAAGAATAAACAAAAATTGGAAAGAACTGGAAAGTGAAACCCAGGAAAGAGTAGGTTGGAGAATACTGATCGGCGGCCTATGCTCCATTGGGGGTAACAGACGTAATTAAGTAAGTAAGTAATTGTAGCCAACCAAATGCAATTTTCTGAATATAATGAGCATGTAGTGTGTGTACTTTTCTGCCCGGCCCACTTAGAATCGGTGAGTCCGACGACTCATTTATTGCAGGTGCATAAAAATGGAGTTGGCTCGCTGGTCTTCTATCCTTCGCTTCGCTTTGCTTTCGCTTTCAAGAATAACAAAATAGAATCAAAGTATATCATCCTGTAAGGATTAGCGCTAAGGTTAGGGGATGAGCCTGAAAAAAAACACTTCGATACATTCCAACCGAACTTCTTGAAGAGAAGACACTACATTGTATACTACTTACAAACTACGTAGCAAGTAGTATGATAAAATGAATGAAGTTCAAGCAAATCCATAGTAATAACAGTGACAATCAGAAAGACTATACACAGGGACAGTTGACTTGAAACAATCCATGATGATAAAGACGATAAAGGGTGTGTGTGTGTGTGGGAGTGTGTGTGTGTGAGAAAGAAAATTTAAATTTTAAAAATTAAAATCACTCCATAAAATCAATCAATGATCATCACAATAGGCATAGATAAATAGATAGATAGATTCAATCAATGCATGAATCAGTCCAATCATTGATTGTAGGGTTGAACACTTTGCATCAATAAACCAAACAACTACGAGTGAGGTTGAATTGATTTGATTTGATAATCAATATACTGATTGGTCTAGAGTTTTCTGCATACACAAACATTTTGATGATTAATTAAATAACCAGAGAAAACAACTACTGAATTGGCCAATTCACTCACTCACTCACTCACTTACTGTTTGTTCATGCCTACCACTTTTACTCTAATGATAATCTTCAAAACAAGTTATTAACAGACCTTAGAACGATCGATCGATCGATGCGAACAGAATGGTGAATTTATTGGAATTAGCAAACAACCCTCAGCTGATAATGTTTCAGTCAGTCAGTTGCAACGTAGAACTTCGTACGTATGTACATAGTAGAGGTATTAATGGTAATGAAGAAGATTAGGGTTCAAAGATATTATTCAAGAAATATAATTCAGATAGATAAGGTTAGAAAGACAAAACTAGAGGTGTTGACGAATCCAAGATCAGGATTTGAGAGAGCACAATGAATGGATGCACTTGCGCCATTTCAAACGATTCTGAGCTATGTCATTCAAGGCCTCTAACCACTGGTGACTTTCGTCTCGCGGACCTCAACCATGTAGCCTACATCTACCAACATGACTCAGTTCACTTGTCAGTGACTTCATGCATTTCTGTCCTGTGTTTTGTTTTGGCCACCCCTAGCTTTCTTCCAATCTACTCCTACACCACAAAACATAGCTCATCGAGGCAGTCGGTGGTTAGACATACGTAACACATGTCCGAATCACCTCAACTGATGAAGTTTCACCACTTTATCTGTTGATCGGCCATCCTTACCTAGAACTCGTTTCCTAACGACAGCATTGCTTACTCGGTTGTCCCACGATATAACTGAGGATGTTTGGACAGAGATGTTATAACTTGATTTGCTGACAGATAGATACCTTCGTTAAAAGACTCCACCTGAAGCCCATCTGAAGCTACTTCTAGTCCCAAGCCCGAGATAAAGGAGAAGGGGGTTGGGCGATGGGTTAGCAATCCTGTCCCGTAGAAAACGAACTCGCTAAAAAAACGCTAACCAGAAAAAAAGGAATTCATCATTCTTATGTAATTTTATTGATACACATGTCGTATAACAACTTTCACAGATCAACGATATACCAATCGAGAGGTTCACTTATCCAAATTAGAATATGCTATTAAGCGAAGAGAATGACAGAATTCAGTCAGTCTCCTGGACAGTGTGATCAACAAGGCATGGATGTTTGAAGTATTATTTCCTTTGCTACTTAGTCACAAAATGTAAAATGATGTGCGTCAGGACTGTATGATCATACAGATTAGTATAGCTCAATGCATAAAACGCTTCATTTGATAGTATACACAACAATAAATTCTAGACTTGTGCATACTGAGGACGTTAGATCCCCAGAACTCACTTGGAAAAGGTCCTCATTTTGAATTTTTTTTATGTTTTCGCGTATAAGACGCTTAGTTGACTTTCAGCTTACATTTCCAAAACGGAAAATCCTTGACTGTTATTGGTTGATGCATTATTTTAGTACGTTATTTTGGCGCCTCTCCCATGGGCGTAGCTATCATTGTAAAAATAAGCTTGATTTGTGTGCTTCGGAACCTTGGGTGCTTGTAGAATACACTTTCTACACCTTATCAAGACTTCTTGATATAGTTAGCCGGGCCGGGGGCAAACGAATTAGAATGTGTCATCGATGTACAGGCCAATCATCTTAGATCAAACCTTCGTAATACCCTTAATCTAAGGGGTTCATTTTCTAGCTTTGCTAGGAAGAGATCAGCTGAAGTTGGGCCTAGAAGTGATATCAAATGGATAGAATAGCTATGAGCTCACCTATACGCGCAATTTTAGCCGATATCTTCTTCCTAGCAAAGCTGCGAAATGGGGCCTTTCATTGAGGTCTTAGTACATTCATCTAATATCCTAAGGGAATTATTGATCAAATCCTATTGGTCGATTTCTATTGGTCAAAATTATGGTCGTTTTAACTGTCAAAGTCAAATACTTCAATGTTGTCTCTTATTGGTCATCCGGACTGTCAATGTCATTTCAAATGTTCTTTCTTATTGGTTGTCCTGACTATCAATGTCACATCAAATGTTACTTCTTATTGGTCGTCTTAACTGTCAATGCCACAGAATTCGATGCTGTTTCCTATTCGACCGAAATGTATAAATACGCATTATCTGTAACATTCTAGGACCAGGACCAGGACCAGGGCTCGGTCGCGAATCCCTAGTCCGGGATCCTGATTCTCTTCTGAACTCGGACCTGGTACTTTCTGGATGCTTGTAGAAGACAGATTCTACTTCATATCAAGTCTTATTTTACTCGATATGGGGGTTAGGATAATCGGATTTGAGTAGTATGCCGTATCACCGGATCCTCGATCCTTGGCTCTCGTTTTTCGACTAGGTAAACTCGTAATAATAGTTCAAGTATATCTCAATTTGACGTATTTACGTACACAGGCGTAACATAAAGATAAATAAAATAAAGATGAATTATGCACAGATTTACCTGGCGGTCCAGAAAACAACACACCACGTGGTGGATCAACATTGAATTTTGCAAATATTTCCGGATACATTAATGGTAAGATGATACTTTCTTTCAATGATAAGATATGCTTTTCATGACCACCAATTTGTTCAAAACCAATCGATGTATCAATAGACATTGGTTCAGTATCAGCTAAATAAGTTGTTGAATAATTTCGATCGCCTATTTTGGATTTATTCTGTGTATACACACACACACAAAGTTGACACGAAAATCACGTGACAAATGAAAGAAAGAACAAGCGAGAAAAAGAAATTAACATGCAGTAGGAAAAAAACGAGACGAAAAACACAAACTAGGATTCCAATGTGAAATCGTAGATGTGTACGCGCTATTACTCCACATAATTAAATAATGTCTCCAAACCAGATGTAAATATTATGTATTGGTCAATCAAGATAGTGAAGGAAATTTGTATAGCTTAGGTGGATTCCAGTGGAGGAAGAAATCACAAAGAAGCGCTGTAATTGAATAGGATAAGGGTGATGTTAAGTGTAGGATGGATTTGACTGTGACCAATATGGTCTCGTGTGCTGTTAAGGGTATGAGGGCGGTTGTGACTTCCCGTCTGCCCACACCGTGGAAGGTTGTTTCTTGAGGGACCTAAAAAGGAAGATAGTTTAGTGTTGGTCTTGAAGACCTGGGTGCATGACCATCGGTTACGATAATCTGACGGACATCGACCCGGTGGTGACAGGTCTACATTTACTAAGACAGCTCAGTCTAGTGACTTGGGGGTTTATACAAATTGATGAAGTAGTGATTCTTTATCAGTTAAAATGGTTGGGATATGTGTTGTGTATGCCCAAGCATCGACTAACTGCCTTGACGAACAATGTTTTGTGATGTATGGGTGTGTTGGTATGAAGATAGGGGCGCCCAAACCAAAATATGGCACAAATACATGAAATCATCGACAACTAGATTGAGCCGCGTTTGTAGGTGTAGACTACCAGGTTGTGGTCCGCAAGATAATCAACCAATCAATCAATCAGTAGCAACGTAGAACTTCGTACGTAAGTACATCAGTTCATGTTGCCATACTACAATAACACAAAGATGTGATTGTCAATTCAAATCCAATAGTAGTAGAGATAGTAAAGGTATTAGAAGTAGTCGTAGAGGTTAGGATTAGAAGATATTATTCAAGAAGTAGAATCTAGTGAAATAGGCTTAAAATGATAGAGTGATGAAGAATTGAAAAGTTTAGGATTGGAGAGAACACAGAATGAATGCCCCTGCGCCAGTGCAAACGGTTTCGAGCCATGTCATTCAGAGTCTCTAACCATCGATTACTAACATCTCGCGGACCCCAACCAGGTAGTCGACACCTACCGACATGATTCAGTCCACTTGTATAAGTGACTTTGTGGATTTCTGCCATGTTTTGGTCTGGCCGCCCCTAGCTTTCGTCCAACCTATTCCTACACCGCAAAATATAGCTCGACGAGGCAGTCAGTGGTTAGGTATACGCAGCACATGTCCCACATGCCCGCAGGATAGTAGTATCCGAATTCCTCGTGACCCTTATCTTTCTATTTCTTGAGTTTGTTTCACTGGATTATACTTCTTGATTCAGTCAGTCAGTTACAATGTAGAACTTCGTACGTTAGTACATCAGTTCATGTTGCCATACAATATTAGCACAGAGAGATGCAATTGTCAATTCAAATCCCATAATGGTAGATATAATAGAAGTATCAGCGATAATGAAGAAGATTAGGGTCCGACGATGTTATTCAAGTATCATTTAATCAGATAAATTTAGAAATAGAAATATAGATGTGATGAATAATTCAGAAGATTAGAATTCGAGGGAGAGAAGACAAAGAATGGATGCATCTGCGTCATGCATCTTCTGCAAACGATTCTCAATCATGTCATTCATTGTCTCTCACCATCAGTTACTATCGTCTAGCCGACCCTAACCAGGTAATGAGATTCTACACGTACAAACATGGCTTCTTAGTCCAATTGTCAGTGACTTCATGTAATTGCGTCACCTTGTTTGACAGTAAAACGACAAGAGCTTTCTTCCATCCGGTACAAGACATTTTTATAACTTTAAACGAAAAAACACACCAACCTGCGTCATCTAAAGCGCAGGCGAGATATCCGTTTGCTGACCAAAGGACGAGTGTACTGTGCACTAGTTCGCTCCGTCCTACTGTACGGATACGAGACTTGGCCGTTAAGAGTAGAGGACTGCCGTAGGTTACTAGTCTTCGATCATCGAAGTCTCCGAAGCATTGCTCGTGTATCCTGGGACAACCGTATAAGCAATGCTATCGTTAGGAAACGAGTTCTAGGTAAGGATGGCAAACCAATAGATGAAGTAAGGAAACTTCATCAGTTGAGGTGGTTGGGACATGTGTGACGTATGCCTAACCACCGACTGCCTCGACGAGCTATGTTTTGCAGTGTAGGAGTAGATTGGAAGAAAGCTAGGGGTGGCCAATCCAAAATGTGGCAGAAATGCATGAAGACATTGACAAGTGGACTTAGCCATGTTGGTAGTTGTAGGCTATCTGGTTTGGGTCAGCGAGACGATAGTCACCGATGGTTAGAGACCTTGAACGACATGGCTGAAAACCGTTTGCAATGGCGCAGGTGCATCTACTCTTTGTGTTCTATGAAATTCTAAGCTTCTGCATTCCTCATAATCTCTACCTTTCCCCTTCTAAATTTATCTTACTTAATTATACTTCTCGAATCATATCTTCTCTCCCTAATCTTCCACATTACTGCTAATACTTCTATTATTGCTATCACTCATGGATTTGAACTGACAGTTGTGTCTCTGTGCTGATATGGCATAGCAACCTGAACTGATGTACGTACGTACGAAGTTCTGCAATGTATCTGTCTGTCTGTCTGTCAACTAAAAAAACACAATAACAACTTTAACAATACACAATGGAAAAAAAACTAAAATTAATCAATACACTTACTAATCCATAACCAAATTGATAACTATTAATAGGCATAAGTTGTGATCTACCATGTAGCCAACTTTTACTATGACGATGTTGAAAATGTTTATCAGCTTTACTATCAAACGGTGTCCATGAGAAATGATTCTCTTTAGTTGCTGCTGCTGCTGCAGCCACTACGGCCGCTGTCGTCGTCATTGTCGTTGTAGCAGTAGCAGTAGTAGCCGGGGTTGAACGATATCGACGATTACGCCAATGTTGACGACTTGTTTTATTACGACGATTATATAATGATCGATGAGAATGATGAGTTGATATGGAGGAAGATGATATACTACTAGCACGACTACTATTAGTACCACTATCCCTGATATTATCACTACTAGTACTAGTACTATTACTACTACTACTACTACCGTTGCTGCTGCTAGAACTACAATATTCCAAATTTCTTTTACGATGCCTTCAACGAACAAAAAAAACGAACAAAAAAGGCAGAAAGTTAGAAATATTAAGTAGAACAATTATTTATGTAACGAGCCAATAAATGATTGAATCTTGTATGCGAACCAAAATACTTACTACTACTACTACTACTACTACTACCTACTCGAGTGTCTGGGGTCCACCTCTAGGATTACTGCCAGCCTAAAGAGAAGTATTGGGCATGGGTTTAGTGACCACATCGCGCAGAAATTCAACTTGTTAAATAAATGCTAGTAAAAAGAAATAATTCGCTGGTCAGTGGCCAATGCTCTATTACGGTTAATAGAGGCATATAAATTCTCTTATTGTCGATTCTGTAATTTTCAATAAGCAACAATGTAGAACTTCGAAACGTATGTACATCAGTTCAAGTTGCCATACCATATTAGCACACATAGGGATGCAATTGTCAATTCAAATCCCATAGTCGTAGAAACAGTAGAAGTATTAGCGATGATGGAGAAGATTAGGGTTTGAAAATATCACTCAACAAGTAGCTGCTACCTTGACGTGGTGATCGGGCTTGCCTATTGTGATGACCCAACCAAGCTATATTGGCTGGAACCTATGTTCCTGAAGGTTCTACCATGCCAGGCAGGTCGACTGGAGAATAATGAGAGTAAAAGCAGCTACTCAAGGTCAGAGGGCGAAGTCGTACTGCTGACTGCAGGGGGGGGTGAAAGTAGTAAAGTGTTTCCCTCGGACAACCAAAATCTGAATCGATGTTGCTTTCTGATAACACAAGGTAGGGATTGAAAAAGGTCGACTTTAAAAATGTCAAACCTCACCCTACCTCACGGATTTCCGTCTCCGGAGGTAAGGGCTACCCAGTGAGTGCTTTAAAAGAGCGGAACTAATACTCAAAAAACCTTTCATAAGAAGGCCGTGCATAACTGGCCTGAAGCAGTTGTCCCTTGGGCTCTGCGGTCACGCTTCCAGGTCCCCAAGAACAACACTAATCCAGCTTCCTTTTCAGGTCCCTCAAGAAATATCCTTCCACGGTGTGGGCAGCCGGGAAGTCACAACCGCACAGCACACGAGATCAAACTGGTCACAATCAAATCCTTCCTACACCTAACATCCCCCTTATCTTAACGACTGACTCCTCTTTATCACCCCGCACGTATGCTGTAAACGATTCGAATCCCCAAATCGTTACTCCTGATCACTTGAAACCACGCTCTAGACCGATTCAACAAGTATAATCCAGTGAAATAAAGTTTAAGAAAGAAACATACTGATGATGAGGAATTTAGAAGATGATAATTTGAGAGAAGACAAACAATGCATGCACCTGCGTCAGTGCAAACGAGCCATGTCATACAAAGTCACAAACCATCGGTTACCAGTTTGTCTTGTGGACCCCAATCAGGTAGGTGGTAGTCGACATCTACTAATATGACTTAGTCTAGTTGTCACCGATTTCATGGATTCGTGCTAATCCGTTGGTTTTCGTAACCAAAAAAGGATATCCATTGAAAACAGGAAAACACATTGAATATCCTTTCTTGTTGATCAAGTTTCAATTATAGCTAGTAGTGTTTTCAAATGACTAAAAAATTTCATGTACTCCATGTTGAAAGTATGATGGTTTTTTTCTAATAATCGTGAGATATTGAGATTATCAAACACTAAGTGTATCAGGTTAGAGTTTTACTTTAACTACACAAAAGTAGTAGTAGTAGTAGTAGTGTGGGTAGTAGTAGTATGAGTAGCAGTAGTAGTAGGAGTAGTAGTAGTAGTGCGTATAATTTATGGTACGTGATTCATATCCTAGAACTACGTCAAATATTTACTCGATGATTGAATTTAAACAGCAGAAGAAAAAACAAGACGAAATCCTTCTTATACTTACTTCGATTGCATTTGATATGAACGTCTTGCTTTATGATAACCAGTTCCAGCGAACCAATTTCTTTGACGTTGTACACCATGATTATTATTACTATTATTATTACTATGTACATTTTCAACTGACAGAGGGAGGAAAAACAAACACAATTATTTTAAAAAAATTTACTGATTATCTGTCAATTTCAATGGACAATGTGTTTAAATAGTAGAACACTATTCATTAAAAATGATTCATATGAAACATTTTTATTCAATGTACAATTCTCCTTCGGGGGAGGGGCTTGCCGAATGACATAGTTAGGTAGTTTCCTTAATGTGTAAAATATCAACCTCCAGTGCTTCTTCCTAATTTCTTCCTCCACTGGAATCTAATTTGCCCAACTGCCGACTGCTTCGACAAGCGATGTTTTGTGGTGTTGGAGTAGGTTGGAAAAAAGCTAGGGGGGGCCGGCCAAAACAAAACATGGTACAATTCCATGAAGTCACTGACAACTGGACTAAGAAGCCATGTTGATAAGTGTAGACTACCACCTGGTTGGAGTGAGCGAGACAATAGTAACCGATGGTTAGGGACCTAGAACGACATGGCTCAAAATCAGTTGCGATGGGGCAGGTGCATTCATTCATTGTGTTTTCTTAAATTCTAACCTTCTGAATTCCTCACCAACTCCGAAATTGATTTCACTGATTCATACTTCTCCAATCATATCTTTGAACCCTAACCTTCACTATTACTGCTAATACTTCTACTCTATCTACCACTATAGGATTTGAACTGACAAATGCGTCTTCTGTGCTAATGTGGTATGACAACCTGAACCGATGTACGCGCGTACGAAGTTCAGTGTTGTAACTGACTGACTAACTGTTCTCTCTCACAGTGGGCTGCTGATGATATAGTGTCTGGTCAAAAGATCATTAGTTTTTTGCATAGACAACTGTTAATAAACACATGTAGCTTTGTGATGATGGCTTTTTTAGTTCTTCAAGTTTTTTTCTCAATACAGTAGAACGATCTTGACATCTGTATTGGACTTTCTGACTTTAGATTTGATTGATAGAAATGCTGTCCTTGCTTTGCCGATCCGCGCCTTTGGTCAGTTAGTCAGTCATTTCCTACGTAGAACTTCGTACGCGCGTACATCAGTTCAGGTTGTCGTACCACCATAGCACAGAAGACGCATTTGTCAGTTCAAATCCCATAGTGGTAGATAGATTAGGAGTATTAGCAGTAATGAAGATTAGGATTGGGCAAATTAGATTCTAGTGGAGGAAGAAATTAGGAAGAAGTACTGGAGGTTAATATTTCACACATTGAGGAAACCACCTAACTACGTCACTAGGCAACCCCCTCCCCCGAAGGAAAAGCGGGAAGTCAAAAAACTCATTACGTTCAGAAACAGAGACACATAAGATGTATGAACAACTATTGAACAAAACTAGATAGGAAGACGCAGAACAGAATAGGTTGGAGAATGTTTGTCAGTAGCTCTATGCTCCATTGGGGCTAACAGGCCAAAGTAAGCCAGTAAACACAATTATTAGGTTTACGTAAATTTTATTTGTTATACTGAAAAAAAAACACTTTTTCTGCTAGAAACCATATTGCTACTTATGAGTAGCCTGATATTTTTATGGTTGTTAGAATTCTCTTCGCAACGTTTTATTATTGATTAGTCGAAACAACTGACTGTTCTTTCTTTTTTTACACAAATTTGACTATTTTAACACTGAATTTATGATTGAATTCAGAATAGGACACAGTGAAATCAGCCTAAATCTTCGGTTTTCATCAGATTCACCCACTAGGAACGATGAATCAGAGTAGTTCTGTGCAAAACACGAAATTTGAATTTCAAACAGTTCTAGGGATATTTTAGACAATAAATATTAAAGAACAAATACTTCATGAAGAATCAAAAATCAATGTACCCTGGAATTTCGTACCATACCACATTTTTTTGTAAACTCATTTGATATCTTTTTATTTGACAGACTGCAAATCAAAGCAAATCTTATTCTTTATATATAGTAAGTTAGAATGTGGTCAACCTAGTTGGAACTCGTCAGTCGGATGTACCTGCATCTCAGAGTTGATGTCATCACATTTTCTACTTAGCTAACGAATCCCAAATAGAATGGAAACGTGTGCCCCCGGATTTCAATGTTAAACACATTCTATCTATTCCGTTACTGTTGCGCAGTATAATCGTCCTTACTATATGGGTGTGAAACATGGCCAGTAAGAGTAGGAGACATTCGTAGGTTACAGGTTTTTGATCATAGGTTTCTTTGAAGCATTGCTTGTATATCATGGGACAATCAAGTGTACACAGTGCCCGACCGTAGCTGCTACCTTGACGTGGTGGTCGGGCTTGACTATCGTCATGACCCAACCGACCTATATTGGCTGGAATTTATGTTCCTGAAGGTTCTACCATGCCAGGCAAGTCGATTGGAGAACGATGAGACTAAAAGCATCTGCTACTCAAGGTCTGGGGGCAAAGTTGTACTGCTGACTGCAGAGGGGTGTGACAGCAGTAAGGTGTTTCCCTCGGACAACCAGCATCTGCAGCGATGTTGCCTTGTCACAGGGAAGGAAGGGTTAGAAAAGGTCGACCCTAAAAATGTCATACCTCATCCTACCTTACGAATTTCCGTCTCCAGCGGTAAGGGTGCGCACTAAGGGCTTTTAAGAACGGAGCTAATCCTCAAACAACGTCTCATAAAAAGGCCGTGCGTGACCGGCCTGAAGCAATTGTCCCTTGGGCTTTTCGGTCACGCTCCCAGGTCTCCAAGACCAACACTAATCTATCTTCCTTTTCAGGTTACTCAAGAAACAACCTTCCATGGTGTAGGCAGCCGGGAAGTGACAACCGCCCTCATACCCGTAACCAGTAAGCGAGACCAAATTGGTCAAATGCAAATACCCGTAACACAGTTATATTGTTAGGAAAAGCGTACTAGGTAAGGATAGCAGATTAACAGATGAAGAGTATTGAAATTCCATCAGTTTAGATGGTTGGAGATAGACGTTACGAATGACCAACCGCCGAATGCCTTGTCGAGTGATTTTTTTTTCGATATAGAGAGTAGGTTGTTAGAAAGCTAAGGGGCTGACCAAACCAAAACATACCACACAAATCCATAAAGTCGCAGAAGTCACTGTATTGAGTCATGTTGTTAGCTCTATAAACTATCATCTGGTTAGAGTCCACGAGACAATAGTCATCGATGATTAGAGACTTCAAACCACATGGCTGAAAATCGTCCGCAGTGGCTCAGAGGCATCTATTCTTCGAACTCTAATCTTCTCCATTAATTTCATCCCTCTATGTGTGCTACATACATACATACATAAGTACGAAGTTCTATGCTGTTACTGACTAACTAACTGACTAACTAACTAACAGAGTGATCAGATAATTCAAAAAAATAAAAACTTTCTTACCTTGATAAACAATAGTATTTTTACGATTACGTACTGGATAACGTCTTGTTTGTTGACCACCTTGATCATTACCACCATCATCATCCTCTTCTTCTTCTTCTTCTTGCTCTTCCGGCTCCACCTCCACCTCCACCTCTTCGTCTTCGTCATCATCATCAACAACATCATCATCTCCATCATCTTCATCTTTTAACATGGCATTATTATGATCATTTTGTATTTGTCGAGAATGTGTACATGGTTTAATTTTAATGGATAAATTATTTTTTACATTTTGTTGTATAGATGATGATTTAGGTGTTTGTCTAATAGTACTATTTGTAGTACTTGTAGTAGTAGTAGTAGTATCAGTAGTACTAGTAGTACTGTTAGGCAATGAATATTTTCTACGTTTTTTATGTACATAATAATAAGTTGTTGTTGTCGGTGTTAATGTCAACGTTGTGGTTGCTGTTCTGCTGGTGGTGGTCAAGGTTGTTGATTGACTACGTGGTCTTAATTGACGCTGACAAGTTGTAGTTGTAGTAGTAGTAGTAGGAGTAGTAGTAAGAGGAGGAGGAGAATGTGAATTGATATGATTTGAATTATTCATAGTTGGTGTTGATGTATCCTTATTATTATTATTATTATTATTATTATTATTATTATTATTGCATAATAATTTAGTTGAATTAAAATTTTCCTGTAAATAATATGATTTTTGTTTTTTTCTAATAGGTGAAATATTTTTCAAATTCATATTGATATGTTTCACATGATGAATAGATGAGTGATTTGAAGAATTCTGATTGAAATGAACTATTCAGTAACAATAATAATAATAATAATAATAATAATAATAATAATAATAATAAACACGATTAGATAAGCACAGTACAAAGAAATAAGTTAATAAAATGGGATTTTGTCCTAGTATGCGACTCATCAACACAGTAAGCCTACACAACCCCAGTGTGTGTGTGTGTGTGTGTGTGTGTGTAGGAATCGAACCTAGAACCTACGGTCTCGTGTTTTTGATTTCAACTATAAAATTAATAAAAATCTACACATTTTTGGATGTCAACTGACTGGTCTAGGTGTTAGGCGTTGGCGCATGATATCGAAAGTCCTGTGGAAGGTTGTGGAAGAGCACTAATGCTAATGAATCTCATACTATAATGAAACGGCCCCTACAATGGTTTCGAATGATGGTTTAACTTCAGTACAGTTCGTGATTCTAACTATGAAAAGAAAGACAGTTCATTGTTAAGTCTTCTAATGAGTGAGTGAGTGAATAAATGAAAATAGAAATTAACTGATATAACGTATTAATCAGAAATCACCAAATGATAAGTATAGATGATTTTGATTACGAAATCACTTTTATTTACCAATGGATAAGATATAAACGATTGATAAGCTTACTTTCCTAAGGAATAACATACACATAAGTGCTATACGATGTGTGTCAAAATAACTTCCTTTCGCAATTTGAGGCTTTTCTCTTGAATAGCTCGGTCAATGTATAAAAAGTGTGAATCAATATGAATTTTTTGGGAAACTTTATGTTACACAACATGTATCTATCTACCAATCGCTTATCTATTAAACAACATTAATCAGTTAGTCAGTCAGTCTGTCTGTTGCAACGTAGAACTTCGTACGTATGTACATAAGTTCAGGTTGCCATACCATATTAGCACAGAGAGACGCAAATGTCAAATCAAATCCCATAGCGATAGAGGTAGTAGAGGTATTAATGGTAATGAAGAAGATTAGGGTTTGAAGGTATTATTCAAGAATAACAATTCAGTGAGATAAGGTTAGAAAGACAAAGGTAGAGGTGCTCACGAATCCAGAAGATTACAATTTGAGAGAGCATAACGAATGGATGCACTTGCGCCATTGCAAACGATTCTGAGCCATGTCATTCAAGGTCTTTAACCATAGATTATTATCATCTCGCGGACCTCAACCACGTAGCCTACATCTACCAACATGGCTCAGTCCACTTGTCAGTGATTTCATGGATTTCTGCCATGTTTTGGTCTGGCCGCCCCTAGCTTTTTTCCAACCTACTCCTACTACACCACAAAACAACATAAATCCATACTTATTTTGTATACAATCATAATATTTTGCCAGTGATAACAAGAATCAAGGAGTAGTGTAAATTGTATCAAAACAACGACACAATCTCTAAATGATGTCACAAAGTCACATGTATATAATTACCATACTCCTACTCACAGCTTTCTCATGGGAAACATGTTATTTACGAAATTGAGAAGGAAAGCTTACACCGAGTTAATCAGTATGAAGGATCCTACACAGAACAGTTGAAAAACCCTCATTCTAAACCATTTCCTGTCAGGATCCTGGAAAAAAAATCAAATGATATATAAACCGACTACTATGGAACTCTGTCTCCTCACGTTATTGCTCCACTATCTTGTAGAATTATAGACCTCTGGGTCGAAGGTTCGGGGCAGAGGTTTACTTAATGTAAAACCATTTCCTTCAGTTTATTCATTCAAGTAATATTCCGGTCCGCTCATAATTTCATGGATTTGTATGTTGGAAAAATATTTAGTTGCCTTATTGTACCGATGTGTGTGTTTAAATCATAACCACTTGTAAACAATCTTAAAATCTTGGATATATGTAGATCTGTTTTATAAGTTGTCACATCACATTAGCACAGTGACATGAAATTCGCAAGATACATTCTACTGTACTAAAACTGGCGGTAGTATCAGTAGTTGCAGAAAAGATTAATAATCGAGAATAGAACTCATAAAGAAATCATTAACTAAGAGTATAAAACGTGGAAATTACTTTTTACAACTCAAGAACAAAAGGAGAGATGACATCAATCAATCCATGAAGACATCAGGTTTTACGTTGTATATATGACTGAACGGTTAACCATTTTATGGATTGAAGTCACATTTTCCATTGGATGCCCATAGGTTTCAAGATAGGGGTGGTTGATAATATGTAGCGAATATCTCAGCCAAACTAGTCAACAGGGATTAACAAGGTTGTCAACCAATCTTTTATCTTTGTGGAACCTGAACACTGCTCAGTGTGTAGCCCAAAAATATGCAAAGAACGGTTTCTGGATTCTTCAACACCTCTAGTTTTTTCTTTCAAAACTTATCTCACTGAATCATACTTTTTGAATAATATCTTCTCATTCTAACCTCTCCGATTACTTCTAATACCCTTACTAACTCTTCTACTATTGGATTTGAATTGACAATTACATTTCTGTGTTCAAATGTGTTATGGCAACCTGAACTGATGTACTTACGTACGAAGTTCTACGTTGCAACTGACTGACTGACTGAAAACATCAACCAAAATCTATAACCTATGCGTATCATTTAATTTTGTAAGCAGAGTGATATTATTTCCCGTTAGTTGGTAGGCAAACAAACTTGACGTAAGTTAGTGAAAGTTAAGGGTGCTGCTTACTAAGTCGAACACCAACTCGTTAAATTCCAATACACATGGAAATGATCAATAAACTCAACCACTTTATTTTCTGTTTATGATTCACTTAGTCGATGATGTGAAATAACCTTAAAGCATTATTTCACATTCCAAATAGGCTTGCATTAATATTCAAGGTATTCAGGAAGCAAAACTGTTTTTTTTTCTCTTCAGCTTTTTCAGATAATCATGAAAAAAATTTTCACAAAAAGAAAACAGACTTACCTAATTTCCCGTTATTTGGTCGACCACGTTTTCTCAACTGAATAGATGATTGAATAGGCAGCGATGAATCCGACTGATCATGACTAGTATTCACGATAGATTTAGTTGACATATCTAAATTGGGCTGGAATTGAACAAACAAACATGCACACACACACACACACGAGTATAAATTCACTGTGAAACCTTTTAACAATAACAAACAAAAGCACTTAAGTACTTATTTTTCCTAAGAAAAGAAAGATTGATCCGGCTCCTCCATCAAGTACCGTCTTTTTAAAGTCAGTCTCAAGTTATTCACAAATAAGTAAGTGAATTTGGTTTCGAACTTGTGGATTAGAATTCGAAAACCAAAAGCTTTAATCACTTACTCAATGCTTCATAAGATCAGTTTAACAACGATCATTTGGTTGAACTGAAACTATTATTCCATTGTAATTTTATTGCCTTTTATGGATTGTTTTATGGTTATACACCCCCTAAATGTCTGGTGAATATTCTTCAGAAAAAGGTTTCACATGATTTTATCTCATGCTAAGTGTTCACGTTTTTATCAGGAGATTATTAGGAGTAACGTTATGTAATAAACTAGTTGGCAAATATGAAAACGGAAGTAAGACATAGTGAGAAAAAAAATCAGTATTTATCAATCAAGCTACTGAATTTGTGATTTAAACATAGAGTGACATAAAGAAAAATTGATGCAAGTTACAAAGATGCATTCATTTGCACTAATTTCAATGCGATCTAAGTTAGCTTGTATCACAAACGTAGGACAGTATGTTGTGTTTATAGTTAGTTATCTAAGGAAAACTGATAAAATTCATCGATCCATTCGCCACATGAACAAATATTATATCAACTGTATTAAGTGTTTAAATGCATGAAGGGTAAGGACACAGCTTAATGACAATGGTCAGTGTACAGATGAGCATTCGTCGTAACATGAAACGATATCACTACCGAGGTTTGATTTGATAATTTCATGCAAATTAAGTAGACTGTTATTAGTAAAAAATATATTGATAGTTTTCCAATGAGTAGAAGAATTAAAATATCATAGTAGTACAGAGAGGTCTTTTTAACTAGAAAGGCCAGGACTTAGAGCTTTCCATTAATGGTAAATCTTATTGCCCTTAATAAAAAAAAACGCCTAACTGTCCATTCTACTTAGACCACCAATCCAAGCTACAAAATAAGAACTTTGTTCACATATCATACTACTATCATGCAAACAAACTTAACTATATCCTTCTATATTACAAAAGTCATATCCTTCACACCCATTAATACACAAAAATACACAAGCGTATTTGATATAAACCGTCCTTACCGGAGAGGTAAGTATGGACGCTCCCAGAGTCAACATCATCGAGAGATCTAACGACTAGTAACATAAAATATCACTATTGAGTTTAATTTTCCTGGATCCTTACGTTATGCAGTAATACTTGGACATCAAAAATGTCGAACAGCAAAGGGATATCTTACTACAGCGGCATTCTCAAAAAACCATATATTTATGGAATATAAGTGAGGTTCAAGCCAATGGTGGATGCTTTTAGTGTGACAACGCCAAATAACGACCTTTTTATATTTTAACTAGACCAGAACTGTAAATACAGAAAGTTAAATTACACTAAAAGACATGTTATTACAAGAGTTGACGAATAAGACAAATATATTACCCCATGTCTTTTAGTAAATAATTTAGGCTAGACCAGAGTAAAGAAACGTTTAAAGCAGAAGATTTTGGATTCTTTTGAAATCGTGGCCACCTAAACTCATGGATTTTCACTAACTTCACTAACAGAACTGATAAAACCTTGTAAAAATTCTAACCTACCGGTAACCTGAACTCAAGCTTTCGGATAAAACGGGAAAATATCATGGGTCACATCGAAAATTTCAAAACAACACAACAAAAAAACATCTGCAAGTTTACCTACATCTAGGATTTTTACCCAAAATTTAATAAAAATTAACCACTGTCGGAAGCAATGTCTGAAGTTGATAGTAAGTGCTAAGATTTAGGGGGTAAATCGCCGCAGTGACTGAGCACTTTAAACATACATATAAAAGGTAAACTGAGGACTAGAAATAGTGAAATTTCAGCGATGAGTTTTATTGATGTTAGAAATATTATAGAACACGCATATTACCACAAACTAAGAGACATTCACACTTACAAATTTTTCGCGTACATGTGGCCGATGCCTCAGAGGACTCATTATTTAAAACTTGAACAAAAAAGGACTAAAGATCATAGAAAATCCTAAAGTTATTAGGTCGGCGCCAACTGAAACAACCGCAGGTCACCTATGGTGCTAATAAACAATTTAGCGTCCAATGTCTAATATTTTCTGGTAAAAAACGAAGTCGTAATTCCACTTTTCTGATAATATTTTCATCGAATGTTTGCTGTAGAAAGTGCATTCTTTCGAATTCTGCTGTTCATATAAAGTTAGAAGTTACTTCTAGTACTAGAGGAGCATGCAGGTTGATTGGGGACGATGGGAACGAAGAGCGAACTAAATTATTCTCTGGCGACACAGAAAATGAACAGAGTGATATTAAATTTTATCAAGAAGACAGGAGACAATGGTCAGAAATGGCGGAACTCTAAGGAAAGACAATTCGTAAGGGGAAACCGGGTGCACATGACGTAGAGAACTAAACTAGCCACTTGCCATTTTGTGAAGTGAAATCCTTGGGTGTACTTACTGACCTGCTGGGCCTTTTGTTACATTTTTTCCTTAAAGATTTCCCCAATCACTTCGCTCTAAGTACTCTATAAGAACACAGTGCACCTCAAGGATAAAATCAAACATTCAACATAAATAGAACTTATGCTATTCGACTAAGCTCTGGAGTAAGTTTTAAACGTGAGCGACTTGACGTGAACTCACAAGGCTCCGAATCTGTTCTGTTTTCTAATTCGTGGAGTGGTGACCTACTTTTATGAAGAGAACGCGATTGGTGCAATGGAATCACCAGAAAATATGTTCACTCTTATGGATTACTTTATCTTTTCTGTGACAGGCACGTAATTGGTCAGTAGTGGTGATCAATGGTCAGCGGAGACTCAGACAAATACAATCGATGAGCTTACATTTCTTTCAAAGAAGCCATGTCGCAATATTATTATATTTCAATAAACATTATGCTCGCACGAACGTCCCGGAATAGAGGGTAGCCATAATGTAATAGACTCCGAAGTGCAGGTCACTGAATGTTGAGCTGTCTCCTTCCCGTCAGCCCAGGTTGCTCGTCTATTTTACGAGCACGATTTTTGCACTGACAGCAGGTACCTGGTGTACACAGGTGTCCACGTTTTTGTCGTATCGTTTGAAAGCAGCAAGTCGCTAGCTACAAAGTTTCGATCACGCGGTGGGAATAGCTCCATCATTCCTACAAACGGTTGATGATAGTTAACGATCAACCCGAATAATTATTGACATTATCTGTGCTCGTTTATTCCTGCTGACCTTCCCCCAGGCGTACTCAGAGTCTTAACGCTCTAAAAAAATGTTTGCCGAACAGCTGGTGTATTTTTCTTGCATGGTTATATATTTCATGTTATAGTTGAAAAATTTCCAAAAGTAACTAAACCGAGAAGATTCTATCTGTGATTAATTATGTTGTAGGCCACATCTTGACCCGAAGACTCTCAGTCACGGCAAAACCTGGCCGACTGGCCCTGGCAAAATCAGATTTCGCTAAGCACGATTTTAGCAGTTTACATTACTTACTTACTTTCGCCTGTTACCCCCAATAGAGCATAGGCCGCCCATCAGTTTTCTCCAGCCAACTATGTCCTGGGCTTCCCTTTCCAATTCTGTCCAATTTCTGTTCATTCATTTCATGTCCTTCCTTATTTGTCGGCGTAATGTGTCCCTTGGTCTTCCTCTCTTACATTTGCCTTGAGGGTTCCATGAGAGGGCTTGTCTTGTGACGCAATTTGTTGCTTTTCGTAATGTGCGTCTAATCCACTTTCACCGCTTCTTCCTGATTCCCAACTCCACTGGAATCCTGTTTGTTCTGTTGCTAATCGTGTCTGGCCAACTAATACGAAGTATTTTGTGTATGTTGAGAACTGCTGCTGCAGAGACTGCTGCTACACTGGTCGTCTTCTCTTGCATTTGTTGTTGCGTGTGAGATAGAAGAGCCAGGTCATCTGCGAAATCCAGATCGTCCAGCTGCGTCCTAACTGTCCAGGTGATACCGTGCTTCCCTCCAGACGTCTACGTCTTCATAATCCAGTCGATCACCAGAAGATAGAGAAAGAGTGAGAGTAAGCAACCTTGCCTCACACCGGTCTTCACCTCGAATGAGTCTGTTAGCTGTCCTCCGTGTACGATTTTGCAGTTGAATCCATCATAAGAATTTCGTATGATGTTAACTCTTTTTTCTCAGGCACACCATAGTGTCGAAGAAGCCTCCACAGTGTTTTCTTATCCACACTATCGAATGCTTTCTCGTAGTCGATGAAGTTGATGTAGAGTGGTGAGTTCCATTCAATTGATTGTTCCACAGTGATCCGGTCAGTACATGATCGATCCTTACGAAATCCAGCCTGTTGACATGTTGACATGTTGAAGTGATTGCGTCTTTGATCCCTTTCTAATTGTTCTCCGATTTCGCTTCCTGTCCATAAGTAGATCCTGCAAGGCCTGGAACCTATTGGTGAAGGCTATCTTGAATTCGTTGAGTTTTACGGTATCCCGAAGAAGGGCTGCATGAAACTTCTGTGATGTTGTCTGCTCCATTGTCAGGTGTTTCTTGAGTTTCAGTTTCATTTTGGCGACCAGCAAGTGGTGATCGGATGCCATATCAGCTCCTCTCTTGGTTCTCACATCCTCCATATTACTTCTGAACGTTTTGTTGATACAGATATGGTCAGTTCGGTTCTGAGTAGTGTGGTCCGGTGAAACCCATGTAGCTTTGTGTATGCATTTGTTTGAGAATATGGTGCCACCGATGACCAGTTTCTTGAAGACACATAGGTTTGCAAATCTCTCCTCATTTTCGTTCCTTTCCCCCGCCCAATGTCGTCCCATTATGTCTTCATATCCAACGTTGTCAAAGCCAACTTTTGCATTCAGTTCTCCCATAAGAATCGTCAAATCATTTGTTGAGCATTTCTCGACGATTGACTGCAGCCTTTCGTAGAATTGATCTCTAACTTAGTCATTGTAGTCATTGGCAAGTGCATAGCATTGGATGACGTTCATTGTAATGTCCTCTTTCTTCGTTTTGAAGGATACTTTAATGAACCTGGGTCCATGAGATTCCCATCCTATCAGTGCCTTTCATGCAAGTTTGGACAGCATCAGTGCAACTCCTTGTGTATGTGAAGCATTTTCCTTTTCATGACCAGAGTATAACAGCATTTCCCCTGAAGCTAGTCTCAATGAGTTTCAGTGATGCCGAGCACATCGAGGTTGTATCTTTTCATTTCTGCCGCACCTAGAAATAGTCTTCCAGACTCCCACAATTTACGAACGTTCCATGTACCTAAAAGAATGGTTGCTCTGGTTGTCAGAAGGGGTTATCAGCCTCGTGACTTCTGAGGGAACTTGGCTTTCATCATGCGACGTCACAATTCTTCCTCGAACTCCCAGGGCAGAGTTAAAATTGTTTGAATTATTTTTTCTGGTTAGCGATCTTTTGGCAAGTTAGTTTTTAGTTGGGATTAGGGAGCCAACCTCATGTCCAACCCATCCTCCTTTATCCGGGCTTATGACCGGCAGTACCTCTGAAGGTACTACAGGGGGAGTTAACAGTACATGCTATGTGTATTTTTTCATCTCTCACAGTATTGAGCCTTTTTTATCCATTCGGTCCGCAAGAACTACGGCATTATTTGGAGATCATACGGCTATTACAGAGCACCCGAACAGAAATATAACCCTAGGTTCAAAGTGATCTTGACAATCTATTCGTCTGGAGCGGATCGCGGCAGTTACCGTTTAATCACAACAAGGTGGAAAGCTGCATCTTGGTAAACGTCAACATGAGAACGTAGGATCCAGACATATACATGAGCACATGACCTGGGTACTTGTCATCCAGGATGTCCATATTTTGAAAAACGTTCCACAGATATTACCTCTAGAACTAGACGGCTGATACACTTAATAAACAAGAAGTTCCTGACAAAAGAAACTAGGGTTACCCTCTCCTTGAATACTGCTAATTTATCTGTTCAAACATAAATGTCATAGCAACTAAACCAGTGGTTGTCCAGTGAAACTATGAGCGGCCGCTGCTGGAATGCTATCATACTCTCGACTTCACTGCTAAACGAACCATCTTTCTGTAAGACCCATGTGACGCCTCAGATTAAAAAACAACGAGATATTATTGATGGTAACTTTAAACTGGGCCAAAGTTGCTGAGGAAATCCTTGAAATATATCTCAGACTTATGGTTATACTGTTCCCTCTGATCCAAATCGGGCACGAAAAACCTTGGTCAGTAATGTTAGCTGTCAGATGATCAAAAGACGCTGAAGAATAAACCTGTATGGCCATTCAAATACCGTCCGGTATGGTTGATGGTAGCTTGGATGACGCTCAAACACATACTGTACTACAATAGGGGTGGCCATCACGCAGCGCAGTACTTCACGCAACAACTAGCATCTGTCAAAACTGCGCGTCTGATTTCTGTAAGCCTCAGAAACCGGAGGGCCTAGGTGAGGCGCTTCAGACTTGATACAGCGTCGAAAATGATCTCTCTATTAGTAAACTCTTGTAAAAGCAATCTTGGATCAGTTAGGCAAAACACAGGGAGGCTGAAATAGGCATACAGTAATGTCAGTTGACCTAGATTGGCAACCCACGAGACAAGACTCTAAGATCACGATCTTGCCGATCGAATACACTGCTCAAGCACAAAACATGCTGCGGTCAGTTCTCACAGAACTGTCAACTCGGTTTGAACTTGTTGTAGCAGCTCTGAGACAAACCACGAATCATTTTATGGTAACGTAAGAGCACAGAGGTCTAAGCTGTCAAAAATCAGTAATATGTGCTCTCAAGTGAATCTGGAGATTACAATCCTAACTGAGATATGACTATCCCCTCACATTGCAGACGACGAAGTGGGCTTGCAAAGTGTGACACTCCCAATGGGATAGGAAACACAAGACTGGAGACTGATTGGCAGTACATATTGTCAGCCATTTCAAAGTTGAAACACTACATGGCACCCAACTAATCGATATAAGAAAATTATGCTGGTGTTACTTTGATACTTGTTTGGAGGGATTTACCGACCCCCTCAGGTACTAAGGCGCAGAAAGATAAATCGACAGAGGCATTGCCGCAACTGACACTCTTAAGGTCTAACCAAATACTCTAAATCTCTACAAACACAACAGAATTCCCATAAGTTAGTTTTAGGAGTGTCTTATTCTGATATTGGAAGCTTCAGACTGACTGAGTTATCGGGTGTCATCACTGAGTGGAGTCGGGACGGAAGACATTCAAACTTGGATTATTTGTCAGTAAATGATCAGCTACTAGTTGAAATTGCCAATAGCCACACTCCAGTAAGAAGTAGCGACCATAATGCAGTCATTTTTAACACGGTCTCAAACGAAATACTCGGGCTGGACGAAGACACGTCCTATTTGCCCTCCACTTTGGCAAACTACTTGACCATATGAGAGTATCTTATACACACCTCATGACCATGGGAATGGTGGAGGTTAGCATGAGATGACCACTGGCAAACAGTCACAGAGATTATTCACAATTCTGTCTTAGACAATATAGCTCAGGAAAATCGAATACTTGAAGAGAGAAGAACATAGGTTGGTTTACTGTGACATGAGAGGTTGAAGCGATAGGAGACACTTCTAAATGGAGCTAGCAACTAAAGTACTGGCAAATCCGACATATCTTACTTTCGTGACTTCAGAAAAACCTATGAACCAGGGTGTCTGTACTCTGAGGTTCTGAATGGTGAAGATCTTTCCGACTTGCAGATGTCTAAGATTTTTGATGCCAGTCTCACTGACCAGTTAAGCCGTGTGCCTACAAGTAGAGAGCGAGAGAGAGGGACGTACAAACTCTAAACCGACTGTCAACTGACAAGAATCAGTCAGTCGAGTGGCTGCTGCCGCAGTCATTTAGGCAATACCAAACACCTGGAAATGTACCGGAAGAATATGAATCGAGAGCAAAAAATCAATTAATTTAAATTAGCTCGTGAAAAAGATATTGGATATTGGATTACATATCGCGCCATATTGCAAGGCCAGCTTGTAAGCTAGCAATGTCGTACGTTGTCCGTATTAGGGGTCTTCCGTTCTCGGCGAACGCGGATGATATAATTAATTTTTTCAACGGTATCCCTGTTGTTTATGTCCTAATGTTTAATAGATTCTAGAATAAGAGGTGGGAAGCGTGGCATATATTTTCCTCAGGGGCCCAATGGCCGTTCAAATGGAGAGGCTTTTATTGAATTGGAAAGCAAAGATGATAAAGAAAAAGCTATGGCACATCACAATGAACATATGGGTCGCCGTTATATAGAAGGTAACCCATGGATACCTGATAATTTGAAAAGTTTTCGATTCATGCTCTGAAGAATTGAATGGAGCCATGGGACGCAGATCTTTTAACTCGGCAAACCGCAGAGAACACGTCGTAAGATTACGTGGTCTTCCCTATGATACTGAGAAAAAAGAGATATATGCCTTCTTTAATGGTAAGTAGTATTACTTTGTAATAATCACTAACTAACTTGTATGTCATATGGAAGGTAAGAATTTTTAGTTATAGATTCTTCCTAGTTTACACAGAATGTTACATAACCGGGGTAACAGTAATAGTAATATACACACTCGTCCATTTTTGGGTTTATTAAGGGAAGTTTGTACTGTTCACTACACTTTAATGATATTTGATGAACCGAAACGTTCATGTAACGTCCCAGAGTCTAAATTCCATCTAATGTCAGTTCGTGATGAAAGCTCTAGTCCCAATTCCTGACATACAATAATAATTCTGTACACTAATTTATAACTTTCCATTCCATTTTCATGTCAGTCTATTAATTATCTCAAGGATGGTGCTAGAGGTGTGGTTGTCGGATGCACTTTTTGTCCCTAAAACTCATGAGAAACTACATTCAAATATATAATCCTTTGGTTACTTTTTAACGAGTTTAGAGTCACAAAAGATGGATGTGTTTTTACTCTCCAATCGTCGTCCTGAAATCCATTTTTTGATATTCTTAACGTCTGTAAATGATTTCTGGGTTTCAAGTTGTTATGCATGAATAGTAAGGATATATCACTATCTTCGATTTGAGGTATTCTAAATGTTCAAATTCAGGTTACCGTTCGTGATATTGCGGAAGATTGTTGGGATTCTCGTGTTATCAAGGATAAGAAGTTGATATTGATCGGATCTCTCTACATTTCTTACATCATATGTGATTATCCTTGATTTATGTATTCATTTGGACTTCGAATGTTGAGAAACATGTTGCGTACCTCCAACAGTCGCCTATCACAACGAGCATTTATTCTTTGTGTTCTCTCAAACCCTAATCTTATGGATTCTTCAACACCTCTAGTTTCGACTCTCTAAACATTTCTCACTGAATCATACTTCTTGAACAGTATTTTCTAACCCTAACCTCTCCGATTACTTCTAATTCCCTTACTACCTCTACTACTATTGGATTTGAATTGACAATTATATCTCTGTGCTGATGTGGTATGGCAACATGAACTGATGTACTTACGTACGAAGTTCTACGTTGCATCTGACTATCACAACGAGCGATCTTATTAAGTGTAGTAGGTTGAGAGAAATCTATGGGTGGTCGAACATGGCACCTGTTCATTACATTAATTGTTGCATTAATCTATATAGGTAGGTGCGGACTACTCGCGCTTGGGATCTGTGTGATTGTTGTGACCAATAGGTAGAGACCTAGACTTAAAATCGTTTGGAATTCTAAACTGAGTTCCTCAATAAAAAAATTTCATTGGTCTATATTTTTGAATTTTATCTTTGGTGCTTAGTCTTTTCTATAACTCATGACACTTATTATCTTTACTACTGGATTTTTCATGACAATTTCATCTCTCTGCTATGGCAGTTTGAACTGATCTACGTGCCCACCAAGTTCGACATTGTATCTGACTGATTAAGATCCAAAAAGATTTCAGTTGGTAAGACTAATGCTATTTGACGGCGATGGACAGAAATTAGTAAAATCTTTTCACTAACACCTAAGTACGCCTATCCGAGTTCGGAAACAGTGTATCTACCAAAACGTAGCAAATGTCTGAATACTTTACGGATCCAAGAAATAAAGTAATACACTCGTTGGCTAGGCTAGCAGTTCAATCATGCCCGTGAAACCCATATCGTGGATACGAATGACGTAATTTGAGGAACGCTCTTTCAATCCGGAAACAAATAATTTCTGTCAGTGTCGTGTGTAAAAGGATAACTGTGGTCACTAGTTCTCGAAGAATAATTTCCTGCAAGCACTGATGGTCTGGGTAATCACTTATCGTGATGAATTAATTACCGGCAGTAATATTCATGACGTTTAAATATCTTTTATTACCTTACAAATAACTTTTCGATCTGGACGTGGTTGTATAGACCACGTCTTCACACTACGACAGGTCCTGAAACACAGACATACATTTAAGCGTCCTACAATAGTTGTCTTCCTGGACCTTGAAGCGGCGTTTAACTCTGTTGATCGTGAGGTTCTGTGGCAGTGTCTGTCATTGAAAGGTGTACCAAAGAAGTACATTAACCTTATACAGGCTCTCTACTCGAACACCACTGGTCGAGTAAGAGCTTATGGCGAACTGTCACCGAAATTCATCACTTCAAATGGTGTCCGTCAGGGCTGTCCACTCTCTCCATTCTTGTTTAATTTTATCATAGACATGCTCCTAGAAATAACCTTATCCTCGTCTGAATTTTCAGGAGTAGACCTTCTACCAGGTGGCTCGCTTATTGACTTAGAATATGCCGATGACATAGTCCTACTTGGTGAAGACGCTGACAAAATGCAGTCTTCTGACTACCCTAAGCAACAATGCAAGCATGTTCGGAATGCGGTTTTCCCCCTCGAAATGCAAAATGTTGCTTCACGATTGGCTTGCGACTTCACTGGAACTAGTGATAGGGAGTGAAGTAGTCGAGCGTGTAGACCGCCTCACTTATCTGGGGAGCCTCATCAGTGCTGATGGCCTGGTGACTGACGAAATCTCAGCACCGATATAGAAGGCTCGATTGGCTTTGGCCAACCTGCGTCACTTATGGCGTAGGCGAGATATCCGTTTGCTGACTAAAGGACGAGTGCACCGTGCAGTAGTTCGCTCTGTCCTACTATACGGATGCGAAACATGGCCGCTAAGAGTATAGTAGGCTACTAGTCTTCGATCATCGGTGTAATCGAAGCATTGCTTGTGTATCATGGGACAACCGAGTAAGCAATGCTGTCGTTAGGAAACGAGTTCTAGGTGGCAATGGCAGATCAATAGATGAAGTGGTGAAACTTCATCAGTTGGGGTGCTTGGGACATGTGTTACGTATGGCTAACCACCGACTGCCGCGACAAGTGATTCTTTGTGGTGTAGGAGTAGGTTGGAAGAAAGTTAGGGACGGCCAGACCAAAACATGGCACAAATCCATGAAGTCACTGACAAGTGGACTGAGTCATCTTGGTAGATGTAGACTACCTGGTTGTGGTCCGCGAGACGAAAGTCACCAATGGTTAGAGACCTTGAACGACTTGGCTCAGAATCGTTTGCAATGGCGCAGGTGCATCCACTCTTTGTGTGCTTTTTAATTCAAACCTTCTGAATTCCTCATCATCTCTATCTTTCTCCTTCTAAATTTATATCACTGAATTATACTTCTCGAATTATATCTTCGTTCCCTAATCTTCTCTGTTATTGCTAATAATTCTACCTTCGCTATCACTCTTGGATTTGAACTGACAGTTACGTCTTTGTACTGACGTGGTATGGCACCCTGGACTGATGTACTTATGTACGAAGTTCGGCGTTGTATCTGTCTGTCTGTTTGTCTTAAAAATAAACATGTGTTGGTCATTAGTATAACGAATATTGCAAGCGGAAACAAATTGGATCGTGCATTGAGATCTGAAATGAAAACAGGCCAGAGGGCATCAAGAATATGTGTTTTCACATCACTTCAAACCAACTTAAAGCTAATTAGTGTAAAAAAGGCCAAGTGATAAACACAGTCCTTAATTATATACTCTAACGCTAATCTTTCCGAATGTGGTATTGCAATTTGAACTGATGTATGTACGTACAAATTTCTACGTTGTTTCTATGACTGACACAATTCTCATAGACCGACTGGAAAAGATAGATCAAACGTGTATTCCTTAAGATATCGTATTATATCGTATTAGTTTAATTCTTGGTCATTCATAAACAACACAATATAGCACAAATATATATATCAACCTGAGTTATTTCAACATAGTAAGAGGAAATTGATAGATATAAAAGAAAGGAATAGTAGTATACATGCATCATCTAAGATTCATTTTATGATGAATGTTCATAATCGGTTAGCGTGCCGTGTTAACTACATTTATTCACTGACTTGACAATCAATACTACTATGTAATCATTTCTTAGTCCATTACTTATTACTAGTTATATAGCCAAATAGATTATCATCTACAAGCATGATGTCATGCATACATAATTAAAAAAAAAATATGAACTTCATTTTTATTCTCTATCTTTTACTACTGATTACAACTACTTTTAGTGTGAGAAATAAGGAAGCTTATGTTAGGCTGTTACTAACTTGTTTAGTATTAACACGTCTGATCGTTTTATTTATTTCATTCCTTTCCTGATTTCTCGGGTTTTATGAATTCTTGGGATTGGCAGGCTTGGAAATAGCTCCCAACGGTATCGGGTTATTGGTGGATCATATGGGTCGTTGCACGGGGGAAGCATATGTTCAGTTCACATCTTCTGAAAGTCTAGCTCGAGCAAAGGAGAAACATATGGAGAAGATAGGGCACAGGTGCATATTTTCGGGTTTGGATGGGAGGTTTGGGTATTATTATTAATGTTTTACGTAATGGTCCGTCGTATGGGATGTTTAATATTTATTTACTTAAGTAAACAGCTTGTTAGTTAAGTGTTATAAGAATTTTTTTTACTCTAGACACTTTATCTTATCAGAGTTTTTAATTTTTTTCAGATACATTGAAATATTTGAAAGTACAATGATGGAGGCTAACATGACCATACAGCGCCAAATGGAAATAAATCGTAAGTTTCTAAACAGTCATTTAGCTTACATATTTAGATGACCGTAGTTTAAGCGGGGGACCAGTGTTTGGCCGGGGCAGTCGTGATAGTCATCATAGTGGTATTAGTTATTATGGGGGTCCTCGAGGAGGATACAATGCACCTCCGTTCAATTCAAATGGGTCAGCTCCAAACAGAGGTCCAGTCGCCGGAAGATTTGCACCTTATAGCCGACCACATGTTTTTGGACATTCCGGATACAATTCCCCACCTAGAAGCTTCGAAGGACCTCCCTCAAAGGGTTCTGGTTTCGGGCCAATTGGACATTCTGAATACGATGATCCACAAAGTTTAACTGGCCATTCTGTCCGTATGAGAGGGTTACCGTACTCAGCAACGAAAGAGGATATCGATCGTTTCCTTTCTCCTTTACAACCAGTCAGTATCCGAATACGATTCAACTCTGTAAGTTGCCGTGTTTTATCTCATAGTTATTTTTATTTTCTTTTAACTTAATATTCACTAAGCCGGTTTTTGTATTTTAGGCTAATCGACCTACAGGAGAGGCAATTGTAGATTTTGTCAGTCATGATGAAGCAAAAGAAGCAATGAAAAAAGATCGAGAAAAAATTGGAACTCGTTACATTGAACTTTTCTTAGCATCTACTCCTAAAGGGATTTCTCCTTCGTCTCGCATAGTAAGTCACTGTTAGAAACCAGTTATTTTATTTGTAGAGCAATGGTGCACAAATTTCTAATCGTCGATCTCCTCCTTCTCATGTCAAAGGCGGCCATCAAGGATCACAATATAGTAACTATCCTCATCAGCATTATGAATTTGATGATCTAAATTATGCAGAAGATGCAGGCTACAATTCAGGTCTAAGTGGATCTGATCTTAACCAGTTATATGATAACTTTCACAATGGTACTACAAGTGTGAGAGGATCAATGGGACATTCAGGTAAGTACTCTAGTAGTAGTGATCTTAAGTATTTTTTTAGGAGACAGTTATTCGGACTACAGATATCGTCATGGAAATCACTACTGAGTACAAGATACTATTTTACATGTATTTTGCGACTATGAAAAATAAACATTTTATCAGAAAAGTGTGTTGATTTTTTTACCAGTCTTGTAGTTTTACGCAGACTTATGTTAAATGGATACTTTTTTTGCACAAAGTAATACCTCCACGTTATAAGTAACCTTAGGGAATCTTAGCCACGAGAGCTAATATTAATTACGATTGTTAGCATCATAAGTTAGTCTTGTGGTCGAAAATATCTCTATACTATTGGGTCAGTCAGTCAGTCAATTAAAACGTAGAACTTCATACGTAGGAACATGAGTTCAAGTTGCCATACTACAATAGCACAGACACGTAATTTTCAATTCAAATCCCATAATAGGCATTAATTGGAGAGATTAGTGCTCGAAGATATTATTCAATAAGTATAAGCTAGTGAAATGTAAAAAGAGAAGCATAAAGATGATAAAAAAATTCAGATTTGAGAGAAGCCAAAGAATGGAGGCACTTACGCGATCGCAAACGGTTTTGAGCCATGTCATTCAAGGTCTCTAACCATCGACTACTATTATCTTGCGGATCCCAACCAGGTAGTGTACACTTATCAATATGATTCAATCCAGTTGTCAGTGACTTCTTGTATTTGTGCCATGTTATGGTTTGACCTCCCCTAGTTTTCCTTCAACTTATTCCTATACCAGGAGGCTGCTGGTGGTCCCAGGATGTACGAGCAGTAGTCGATCCACGTTGTGGGAAGCCGGGAAGTGACATCCGCCCCCATACCCGTAACAGCACACAAGACCAAATTGTAATAATCCTTCACCTAACATCTTCACGTCTCACCCTTCTCAAAGCCCTTTAACACCCTGCACTGATTATGCAAACGATTCGAGTTCACGAAAAGTTATTCCTGGCCTCCTGAAACCCCGTTTTAAATGACATGTTACGGCTTTTAATTTTCAAGTCTTGTGTTAAATAGGGCAACAAGCTTCTTTAGTTAGGACTCTGGGATCCTGTGTCATCAATGTATGCTGCGTTTCTGAGTCGCCGAGTGCAGTGAATAATTTGACTTCACCTTGTCCAGATAAAGAATCAACTCGGTTTACGCTCAGTGTACCTAAGAGTCCTGCTGCTGCTTCTCGAGGTCTCGCTGGTGTAGGTGTAGCTTTGAGTCCTGGGGCAGAACTAGCACTCCTAGACTGGATCCCAGTAGGTAGTCCCTTGTTAGCTGTCCGACTGAACGGTACAGTAAGCGATTCAGAATGTTAGGAACACTCGCCGTTGCCTCTTCGTCATATCTGCTTACGCTCCAATTGACTGCAGTTTAGACGAGGTGGAAGATGAGTTCTACAGAAAGCTTTCGGACCTCGTCCAAAAAGTTAGGTACTCTGATATAGTAATAATGGCTGGTGACTTCAATGCTCAAGTAGGTAGGCTAAGTGAAGAGGAAATACACCTGGGTGGATCTTAGGGTGTCGTGGCTGAAAGGTTAGATAATTCCAACAGTCTATTGCAGCTATGCTGAGATAATCGCCGATTTCTGGCAAATACTAACTTTAAGCACAAGGAGAAACATCTTAACATGGCGACCCCAAAATCGACCTGACGATGGACACAGACCACATAGCTATCAGCCATCAGTGAAGAGGCTCCGTTGAAGACTGGTGCTCATTCTGGAGCACTTGTTTAATATTCAGACCATGCTGTAGTGCGGCGCGTATTTGTCTGCGGCTTACTGGACTTAGAAAATACGCAGCTAGGAAAACTCGTCGGGTTCTACTTAACGATAGCACAGGTGAGAATATTTTTCAGGAGAAACTAGAAAAGCAGCTAAGCGGCCACGTTATTGATTCCTACCCCGATGCAGCTTGGAGCGATATCGAAAAAGTCGCAGAGATAGCACTGATATCTGTTAGTAAGGTAAAACATAAGGTTTGGGCGAAGCCGTGGGTTTCAGTAGCACCTACCGAACTAACAGACACTTGGAAACTCGTCCCACCTAGCTATGAACATGACGAAGAGCGAAGTCAACTGAAGCGTAAGCTGATAAGAAGCTTGCGCAATGATCACGAACAGTGTTTGGTAGTGAAAGCAAGATTTATGGAAAAGGCAGCGACGAGAGGTAACAGCAGACAGTTGTTCCGACTTATCAAGGAAACTCGTACTAGGAATCCATCTGTTAGCAAAACTATCTCAGAAAAGGATAGTCTTATTATTCATTCTCAATCCATGAGCGTGGATGGATAGGCAGAACACTTTAGGGATCAGTTCAGCTGACCTTCAGCCACACTTCGGTTACCCACAATCTCCAGTCATCTTGAATGGCAAATCGATGTATGTCTTTATGAAGTTGAGAAAGCCATTGGAAATCTGAAGCGAGGGAGGGCAACAAAGCCTGATAGGCTTACTGCTGAGATTTTTGAGGATGGTAGTCCAGTTTTAGCAGCTAGATTGACTGAGATCTTAGGTAGAATCTGGAAACTGGACGTTATCTCATCTGACTGGCCTCAATCCTTGATTGTCCCAATTTATGAGGACAAAATTCTTGTGACAATCACAGAGAAATCAGTCTAACTAATATTGTTCCTCAATTGTTAGCCTCCATTATACTTAGACGCCGAACTAAAGCAGACTCGAGGAAATCAGGCTGGTTTCAGACCTAGACGTAGCTGCATAGTCCAAATGTTCACACTACGACAGGTCCTGAAACACAGACATACATTTAGGCGTTCGACTATAGTTGTCTTCCTGGACCTTAAGGCGGCGTTTAACTCTGTTGATCGTGAGGTTCTGTGGCAGTGTCTGTCATTGAAAGGTGTACCAAAGAAGTACAGGCTCTCTACTCGAACACCACTGGTCGAGTGAGAGCTTATGGCGAACTGTCACTGGAATTCTTTACTTCAAGTGGTATACGTCAGGGATGTCCACTCTCTCTATTCTTCTTTGATTTTATCATAGACATGCTCCTAGAAATAACCTTATCCTCGGGACGGTTATATATCTAAATCGCTCTGCCAATGAACATCCGAATTCTTGCCTAAAGGCTGAATGTACGTCTAGGATAACTAATGGAATTCGAGTGGCTAAGTTGTTATTATCAAGTAGAGAAGTTGTTGCGGCTTTGACTTGTCTCTGTGCGAATTCTATACTCCACAGTAAGAAATATAATGGTGGGATATTCAGATGTATTTAATTCCTATTCCAGGTTGATTGGTGAGACAACTTTCGGTTCGGGCTTTCTTATCTATTGATATACTCTCTGGTACTTTGTAAAAAGCAATCTGATTTCCACTTGACATTTTGGCTACCGTTTTCGAGAAGTTATCTTTCGACGATACAGATCATCCTGTAAGTTTATCCATGCAGGCACAAATGTAACGAAAACCGCTTGTCGCGTTCCGGCAACATGAATGCGTGTATTTTTCGAATCTAGCACTAGGATGATAGAAAGTACCGACCACGAATGTAGTGTAGCGACTATCTTTGACGTTTGGCTATTTCGTGTATTATCATGTCCACTTACGGACATCTAGATTCATGATTGGTCGTTCAAAACTCTCACTGCTTAGTTTGACAGTGGCTTTTATTCCTTTTTGCGATAAAGTATTATGCATAATATCATTCACCTCGAAATAAACAACCGTTGTTAGTCTGATGACTACATGAATTGGAACCGAACCTTTTCAAATACGAAAGAAGTTGTATTAGTGGATCTCAACTAGCTCGAATCAACATCTACCTTTTTAAAAGCCGCTAGTTTGCAAAAATGGATATTACTTGGAATCAGGGGGTGTATCGTCGTTCTCAATTCTGCGAAGTCTCGCTCGGAGTATATGAATATATCCGAAATCACTTTAAACTAGTTCCAACTTAAGGTATCTGGTTTAGTTCGGGATTTCTTATAAATTCACCCCTACTTAGAGACTCTTATTTCACTTGATTACGAAAATGCTCAGACCGATATAAATTTGAATTGAGTTCAAATCAAAGTATCAGTGAGAAAAATATGATTGAATTATTTCAAGGTGTAGTTATCAATACTGAATCTATTTTCCGGGGATCAGTTATTTATTATTGTGAAAACCAGTAATTGCCGAAATTAAAGTAACATGATTGAAGTGTAATTAACTCATTTCAGCGGCAACTGTGTAGAGAAAAACTCATCGATATTTGGAGAAGAACATTACTAATAAACTGGATTGACTCGAAACATCATAATACCCGTTGAATTAATTGGAAATCGTGAACTTTTCTGTCAAAGTTACGTATCGGACAGTTTCACCAGTGAATACATTCATCAATTCAAACTTATCTCCGGATATTGCGTACATCAATGATTTGAATTCTTCGAGACTTGTAGTAAAGTTGATCGATCTGTTTTGAGCAAATCCAGAAACCAGATTGACTATGCTCACCACTAAATGTTCATTACGGTCATGTCACGAATATTAACACAAAATAAATCCATGGTTGAGTTGTTTATTGAAAGAGAACGTTGGCATTACATGGGGAGTAGAAAATAGAGAAAAATGGCAGCAACGCAATGAGAATGTTGCGCGCAAGAAGTAGTAGAAGTGTTTTTAGTACAGTTAAACAAAACGAGTACAATAATGTTTATTTTTCACAAATCGTATTTTCTTCGTAGAAGCGTTCCACTACAGATCCTTTACTAAATTTTTGGGCAGACGCAAGCGATTGCCCACTCCTTTGGACATACATTTAATTTCCATATCCATAACTACGTGAAAACAAATAAGTGAATAGATGAAAATATCGTGCTGACAATAACTTCATTGGTAGTTGATGTAGGTGTAGATGAAAACAAGGGAAAGAAATTGAGGACTACACAATGGAATAATGAATGTCGTACGATCTGAAAACTGTGTGATGTATTGAAGAAAATAAAGCAATTGTCGTTGATGTTTAACGCGGAAACACTTGTAGTATAATAGACTGGTTTGTGCAATGTGTGAACTAGAACGGATACTAAAAATGTCTACTCTAGGTCAACGACGCATACATCTGTTGTGACCAGTGCTTCACTAGTTTCACAAAATGTATCGAATCTAATAATGGATAAAT